ATTACATTTCTAAACAAATCGAGACCAGACATTTAAAAACTTGATTTAATTTATGTGTGAGGAACAAAAGGAACATGTAGGCTATGTGCAAGAACAACAAGTCACTTATGATATTAAATCGTTTTGCTTACCTTCGACCTTCGGGTGCGCCACTCTAATTTACCCGTGTAGAACGTTGCCGTGTAGAGCGTTGCATTAGTTCCGCTTTTGGCGCTCACGTGTAAAATAGTTATAAATTCATAATTTTTTATTTGGTCAGCACGGGGGGGCCACAGGGGTGGCCAGGGACATTTCCAGGGAGGCACGGGCCTCCCCCGGCCTCCGTGTAAAACCGCCACTGGACATTCCTAATGTATAGGCTATAGAGAATTTACTAATAACATGTTGCTCGCAGACACGTGAAATAGCCAGCCTTAATGACACGTTACAAGACCGAGCAAAAGGCGTTCGGGACTCGCGGTTCGACCCTCTCTGGCTTTAATGCAAACATTTAATAAAAGCATTCTGCAATGAAAGTGAAATTTAAGGGATCTTTTTACGAAATTAATGCATGTAAACAGTCATCCCTCTTCGGATAGTTTATAGAGAACTCTGCATACTGTATCTCAGGAATCGCCATGTTGTCATTCTGCAGTCTTTGATGCTCGCCCTTACAAAACAAGATTGCAGTTTTGTAACTAAAGACAACTGTTATTTTGGAGGCGGTATATACTGCACTCTGACTGCAATCTTTTTTTGTAAGGGCTGGAGAAAGGAACTTCCTCCATCTTTGTACTGCGGTCAACCTATCCTGAAACGAAAATTATTGGTCAAGCCATCAAATCAAATGTAATTTGTCACATGCGCCAAAAACAACAGGTGTGTAGACCTTACCTTGAAATGCTGACTTATAAGCCCTTAACCAACAACGAAGAGTAAGACAATGCTAAATAAACTAAAGTAAAAATAGTAACACAATAAATAACAACGAGACTATATACAGGGGGTACTGGTAGTAGGGGTAAAGTGACTATGCATAGATAATAAACAGCAGCGTAAAAAATAAAAAAGGGGGGGTCAATGCAAATAGTCCCGGTAGCTATTTGATGAACTGTTCAGAGGTCTTATGGCTTCTGGGCAGAAGGTGTTAAGGAGCCTTTTGGACCTAGACTTGGTGCTCCTGTAACACTTGCCGTGCGGTAGCAGAGAGGACAGTCTATGACTTGGGTGGCTGGAGTCTTTCACAATTTTTAGGGCCTTCCTCTGACACCGCCTGGTATAGAGGTCCTGGATGGCAGGAAGCTTGGCCCCAGTGATGTACTGGGCCGTACGCACTACCCTCAGTAGCGCCTTGCGGTCTGGTGCTGAGCAGTTGCCATACCAGGCGGTGATGTAACCAGTCAGGATGCTCTCAATGGTGCAGCTGTAGAACTTATTGAGGATCTGAGGACCCGTGCCAAATCTTTTCAGTCTCCTGAGGGGGAATAGGTGTTGTCGTGCCTTCTTCACGACTGTCTTGGTGTGTTTGGACCATGATAGTTTGTTGGTGATGTGGACACCAAGAAACTTGAAGCTCTCGACCCGCTCCACTACAGCCCAGTCGATTTGGATGGGGGGCGTGCTCGGCCCTCCTTTTCCTGTAGTCCACGATCAGCTCCTTTGGGCTTGCTGACGTTGAGGGAGAGGTTGTTGTCCTGGCACTATACTGCCAGGTCTCTGAACTTCTCCCTATAGGCTGTCTCGTCGTTGTCAGTGATCAGGCCTACCACCGTTGTGTCGTTGGCAAACTTAATGATGGTGTTGGAGTCGTGCTTGGCCACGCAGTCGTGGCTGAACAGGGAATACAGGAGAGGACTAAGCACGCACCCCTTAGGGGCCCCCGTGTTGAGGAGCAGCGTGGCAGATGTGTTGTTGCCTACCCTTACCACCTGGGGGCGGCCCGTCAGGAATTCCAGGATCCAGTTGCAGAGGTAGTTGTTTAGTCCCAGGGTCCTTAGCTTAGTGATGAGCTTTGAGGGCACTATGGTGTTGAACGCTGAGCTGTAGTCAATGAACCGCATTCTCATGGAGGTGTTCTTTTTGGCCAGGTGGGAAAGGGCTGTGTGGAGTGTTTTGCTAAGAGTATTAGTATATTATTGATCGATTGACTATGACTTTTTAAATCACACAGCAGTGCTATTTGAAGAGTTAGCTCCAGGTAAATGTTGCAATTCTTTAGCCATTCCTGAACCTGCTTGTTTCTCTTCGCATCCGCTCTCATCTCCTTCTCAAAACCCATTGGATGAGAAGGTCAGAGGTCCTTCCCCTCCCACCTTCTTATCCAATGGAGATTGAGAAGGAGAGAGGACGCAAGGAATCAAGGCAATGCAATATAGATTCTCACCTCGTTTCCTCCATTCCTCACCTCCCTCTCAAAGCACATTGGGGGAGAGAAGGTTCCTCCCCTCAGGCTACAATGCACTTTCAAGGAGAGGCAAGAAGTGGAGGAAACAAGGACAGAGGAAGCAAGAATTGGACTGCTAGTTTTCAGATACACACAAGCGTTTACTGATCACAATGATTTCATTGGTTATTATCATCATCATGAATGATTTTGTCGACAGAACCCATTGTATTATCTTATCAACTATTAAAACATATAGAAATGCTGTTTATCTTTTTCATTCTTCAGGAGTGATGTCATACATTGGCCCCTTTTATTTATAGAAGAAAGACCCATATACCAATTGTGTATATACAAAACATTAGGAACACCTGTTCTTTCCATGACAGACTGACCAGGTAAATCCAGGTGAAAGCTATGATCCCTTATTGATGTCACTTGTTAAAACCACTACAATAAGTGTAGATGAAGGTGAGGATACCGGTTAAAGAAGGATTTTTGAGCCTTGAGACATGTATTGTCTGTGTGCCATTGAGGGTGAATGGGCAAGACAAAAATGTAAGTGCCTTTGAATGGGGTATGGTAGTAGGTGCCAGGTGTACCGGTTTGTGTCAAGAACTGCAACGCTGCTGGGTTTTCCACGCTCAACAGTTTCCCGTGTGTATCAAGAATGGTCCACCACCCAAAGGGCAACCAGCCAACTGTGGGAAGCATTGGAGTCAACATGGGCCAACATCCCTGTGGCGCTTTCAATACCTTGTAGAGTACATGCCCTGACAAATTGAGGCTGTTCTGAGGACAAAAGGGGAGGGTGCAACTCAATATTAGGAAGGTGTTCCTAATGTTTTTAATTTTTTATTGAATATTTAAAACATACAATATACTTGCAGTAAAGCCGCTCAACAACTACATCACATTAGTCATCTAACAGACTCCCATCCAGAGCGACACACAGAAGCAACCAGGGTCAACGCCCTGCTCAAGGGCACGTCGACAGATCTCCCACAAGGTCAAAAACGGGGAACCCGAATCATAGCCATTCAAATATTATATATTATCATATTTGACAATAGGTTATCTTTTTTTTTTATCGAATCATGGCTTTGTTAATCAGAATACGATTTTAATCAGATATTTTTCTAAAGTTCTTAGATGTTTCTTTGCTGCAAGACTGTATTTCTCACCCATTTCATGACATCCAAATGCAATCCAGTTTATTTATTTTAAATTGTATTTATTTAACTAGGCAAGTCAGTTAAGAACAAATTCTTATTTACAATGACTGCCTACCCCGGCTAAACCCTCCCCTAACCCGGACGACACTGGGCCAATTGTGCGCCGCGCTATGGGACTCCCGATCACGGCCAGATGTGATACAGCCCGGGACCGAACCAGGGTCTGTAGTGACGCCTCTAGCACTGAGATGCAGTGCCTTAGACCGCTGCGCCACTCGGGAGTTATGTGGAATCTTTATCACTAAATAGGGTTTAACCGAACTACCGCCTGGGAGGCATTTGCATCCGCATATGATGCGTGCTGCTACCAAACCAAAACAAAAGTGTGAATAAAGTCAATACAATTTGCCTCACTTTTTGAATTGAAGTTACTGGGTATAAACATATCACATCAAACAATTCACTGGCGACACCAAATGTTTAGAAGAGGTTCAGAGATCAGAGCATTTCTTCCTGTCAAGCCTATTCTGCATGATACCATAATGTGCGTGCGCATATGCAAATTCTACAGCCAGGATAGCTTGACCGCAGTATCCTTGTTTTACTAATTTCCGTTCTGAATATTTCCTTAAATGTTGTTTACGAAACACTGATATAATGTAAAAAACTGCCCTATCGGTCGTTCGCTCGATGGCTAGGCAATCCAATAAAATCTGAAGGTAAAAAATTATATTTTTTTCTGGGTATATTCGCAATCCTTCCTGTTGCTGTAGGGTAGATAATGGCGGGTAGTCAGGCTTCTCTTGCAGCTCATCAACTTAAGGGCAATGGCTAGCCTGTAGCGAGCTTGCTAACAAAAAGCATTGCATGTATCTTTAGTGACTGCATCAGCGGGCCAAGTGAAGGTAGAACTGTATTGTGTGGTTCTTCCTTGTGGCAGCTGGTTCAAAGAAACAACCGCGGTGCCTCGACATAAAACATTATGCAACCAAATACTTTTGATGGCTCAATAGCCGTATCAATATTTGACTTTGTCAGTGTGCAAGTCATGATCTTTGACGTTAAATTTCTTGAACCTTTTTAATCAAGCTTTTGATTGGGTAACGACGTCCCTGACTATTACGCGTGAACTCTGCTCTTTAAACAATGAAATGTAACATTTTGTAGCTAGGAACTGCAGTTGCAAGTATTCACACAAACGTCAGGAAAAACATCAATGGAATAACAACCACTCCTATCATTGAGGTCCATATTTTTTCATCATGAAGTTTACATTCAATTATTATAATTTTTTATTCCATGAAGTTATTCTTGCCAACGTGACCGTTCTAAACAGGTTTTCCACAACACTTTTGTATATAGCTAGGGTGGCAGGTAGGCTAGCGGTAAGTGTGGTCCATGCTATCCGGGATCCTCAGGATGTCCCAACTCAGATGTTACCCCATTGAAGTTGACATTTTAAAATGGTTAAGGTAAGGGTTAAGGTTTTGGGTAGGGATGTCCCAAGGAACCCAGATAGCACTAACCGTTATTGTTGGGCCAATAACCAAAAGGTTGCTAGGACAAATCCCCAAGCAGACAAGGTGAAACATCTGTGGGTGTGCCCTTGAGCAAGGCACTTAACCCTAATTGCTCCAGGGTCGCCGTAGATGATGGCAGACCCTGGCCGAGTCCCCACTCTCTGAGGGTGTTTCAGTACATGTGTAAAATAGGAGAAATATAAGCACTAAAATGTTATTATATACCGTACCAGTCAAAAGTTTGGACACACCTACTCATTCAAGGGTTTTTCTTTATTTGTACTATTTTCTACATTGTAGAATAATAGTGAAGACATCAAAACTATGAAATAACACATATAGAATCCTGTAGTAACCAAACAAGTGTTAAACAAATCAAAATATATTTTATATTTGAGATTCTTCAAAGTAGCCACCCTTTGCCTTGATGACAGCTTTGCACACTCTTGGCATTCTCTCAACCAGCTTCACCTGGAATGCTTTTCCAACAGTCTTGAAGGAGTTTCCACATATGCTGAGCACTTGTTGGCTGCTTTTCCTTCACTCTGTGGTCCAACTCATCCCAAACCATCTCAATTGGGTTGAAGTCTGGTGACTATGGAGGCCAGGTCATCTGATGCAGCACTCCATCACTCTCCTTGGTCTAATAGCCTTTACACAGCCTGGACGTGTGTTTTGGGTCATTGATCTGTTGAAAAACAAATCATAGTCCCACTAAGCACAAACCAGATTGGATGGCGTATCACTGCAGAATGCTGTGGTAGCCATGCTGGTTAAGTGTGCCTTGAATTCTAAATAAATCAGTGTCACCAGTAAAGCACCATCACACCTCCTCCTCCATGCTTCACGGTGGGAACCACACATGCGGAGATCATCCGTTCACCTACTCTGCGTTTCACAAAGACACAGTGGTTGGAACCAAAAATCTCAAATTTGGACTCATCAGACCAAAGGACAGATTTCCACCGGTCTAATGTCCATTGCTCGTGTTTCTTGGCCCAAGCAGATCTCTTCTTCTTATTGGTGTTCTTTAGTAGTGGTTTCAGCAATACGACCATGAAGGCCTGATTCACGCAGTCTCCTCTGAACAGTTGATGTTGAGATGTGTCTGTTACTTGAATTCTGAATAATTTATTTGGGCTGCAATTTCTGAGGCTGGTAACTCTATTGAACTTATCCTCTGCAGCAGAGGTAACTCTGGGTCTTCCTTTCCTGTGGCGGTCCTCATGAGAGCCAGTTTCATCATAGCGCTTGATGGTTTTTGCGACTACACTTGAAGAAACGTTCAAAGTTCTTAATTTTCCGGATTGACCTTCATGTCTTAGAGTAATGATGGACTGTCTTTTCTCTTTGCTTATTTGAGCTGTTCTTGCCATAATATTCCACAAATTTACTTTTAACAAGGCACACCTGTTAATTGAAATACATTCCAGGTGACTACCTCATGAAGCTGGTTGAGCGAATGCCACGAGTGTGCAAAGCTGTCATCAAGGCAAAGGGTGGCTACTTTGAAGAATCTCAACTATAACATATTTTGATTTGTTTAACACTTGTTTGGTTATTACATGACTCCATATGTGTTATTTCATAGTTTTGATGTCTTCACTATTATTCTACAATGTAGAAAATAGTAAAAATAAAGAAAAACCCTGGAATGAGTAGGTGTGTCCAAACTTTTGACTGGTACTGTAATGCATACAATAAAGTTTGTAATATGTGTGCATTCTCAATTCAGTGTTTGTAGTTCAGCTGTAAACAATGAATGCATACATTTCGAAAAATATTCTGTTGTCTTTCAATTCCATGGATTACAATTGTATACATTGTCATTTTTTTTATTCTTATAGATACGGGAACTTGTCCTGGACAACTGCAGATCAAATGAAGGGAAAATCGAAGGCCTCACAGAAGAATTCGTCAATCTGGAATTCCTCAGTTTGATAAACGTTGGCTTAATCTCAGTTTCCAACCTTCCCAAACTTGGGAAACTCAAAAAGGTAAAGTTTTGATATATATACACACTACCGTTTAAAAGTTTGGGGTCACTTAGAAATGTCCTTGTTTTCGAAAGAAAAGTGAATTTTTTTGTCCATTAAAAGAACATCAAATTGATCAGAAATACAGGGTAGACATTGTTAATGTGGTAAATGGCTATTGTAGCTGGAAACGGCTGATTTTTAATGGAATATCTACATAGGCGTACATAGGCCCATTATCAGCAACCATCAGTCCTGTGTTCCAATGGCACGTTGTTTGCTAATCCAAGTTTATCTTTTTAAAAGGATAATTGATCATAAGAAAACCTTTTTGCAATTATGTTAGCACAGCTGAAAACTGTTGTGCTGATTTAAAGAAGCAATACAACTGGCCTTCTTGAGACTAGTTGAGTATCTGGAGCATCAGCAATTGTGGGTTCGATTACAGAATCAAAATGGCCAGAAACAAATAACTTTCTTCTGAAACTCGTCAGTCTATTCTTGTTCGGAGAAATGAAGGCTATTCCATGCGAGAAATTGCCAAGAAACTGAAGATCTCGTACAACGCTGTGTACTACTCCCTTCACAGAACAGCGCAAACTGGCTCTAACCAGAATAGAAAGAGGAGTGGGAGGCCCTGGTGCACAACTGAGCAAGAGGACAAATACATTAGTGTCTAGTTTGAGAAACAGACGCCTCACAGGTCCTCAACTGGCAGCTTCATTAAATAGTACCCGCAAAACACCAGTCTCAACGTCAACAGTGAAGAGGCGACTCTGGGATGCTGACCTTCTAGGCAGAGTTGCAAAGAAAAAGCCATATCTCAGACTGGCCAATAAAAATAAAATATTAAGATGGGCAAAAGAACAGACACTGGACAGAGGAAGATTGGAGAAAAAAACTGTTATGGACAGACAAATCGAAGTTTGAGGTGTTCGGATCACAAAGAAGAACATTTGTGAGACGCAGACCAAATTAAAAGATGCTAGAGGAGTGCTTGATGCCATCTGTCAAGCATGGTGGAGGCAATGTGATGGTCTGGGGTGCTTTGGTGGTGGTAAAGTGGGAGATTTGTATTGGGTAAAAGGGATCTTGAAGGAAGGCTATCACTCCATTTTGCAACACCATGCCATACCCTGTAGACGGCGCTTGATTGGAGCCAATTTCCTCCTACAACAGGACAACGACCCAAAGCACAGCTTTAAACTATGCAAGAACTATTTAGGGAAGAAGCAGTCAGCTGGTATTCTGTCTATAATGGAGTGGCCAGCACAGTCACCAGATCTCAATCCTATTGAGCTGTGGTGGGAGCAGCTTGACCGTATGGTACGTAAGAAGTGCCCATCAAGCCAATCCAACTTGTGGGAGGTGCTTCAGGAAGCATGAGGTAATCTGAAGAGATTTCACCCCAACAAATTGACAACTAGAATGCTAAAGGTCTGCAAGGCTGTAATTGCTGCAAATTGAAGATTCTTTGATGAAAGCAAAGTTTGAAGGACAATTATTATTTCTATTAAAAATAATTATTTATATGACTACATTTCCTATGCATTTTGCTATATTTACTATTCAAACTAATTTCATGTATGTTTTCATGGAAAACAAGGACATTTCTGAGTGACTCCAAACTTTTGAACGGGTGTATGTGTATAATATAATTTTGTTGTTTTGGCTCTGTACTCCAGCACCTTTTGGTTTTGAAATGATACAATGACTGACTGAGGTTAAACTGTCAGCTTTAATTTTAGGGTATTTTCATCCATATCGGGTGAACCGTTTAGAAATTACAGTACTTTTGTACAGTCGGCCCATTTTAGGGGACAAATTCACTGATACAGTGCCTTCAGAAAGTATTCACACTCCTTGACTTTTTTCACATTTTTTTTGTTGTGTTACAGCCTGACATTAAAATGGATTAAATGTAATGTAATCAATCACTGCCCTGCACACAGTACCCCATAATGTCAAAGCGGGATTATGTTTTAGAAATGTTTACAAATTAATGAAAAGCTGAAATGTCTTGAGTCAAGTATTCAATGCCTTTGTTATGGCAAGCCTAAATAAGTTCAGGAGTAAAAATGGACTCAAGGACATTCAGAGACTTGTCCCGAAGCCACTCCTGAGTTGTCTTGGCTGTGTGCTTAGGGTCGTTGTCCTGTGGGAAGGTGAACCTTTGCCCCAGTCTGAGGTCCTGAGCAGGTTTTCATCAAGGCTCTCTCTGTACTTTGCTCCGTTCATCTTTCCCTTGAACCTGACTAGTCCCCCAGTCCCTGCCGCTGAAAAACATCCCCACAGCATGACGCTGCCACCACCATGCTTCACCATAGGGATGGTGCCTTGTTTCCTCCAGACGTGACGCTTGGCATTCAGGCCATGAGTTCAATCTTTGTTTAATCAGACCAGAGAATCTTGTTTATTATGGTCAGAGTCCTTTAGGTGCCTTTTGGCAAACTCCAAGCAGGCTGTCATGTGCCTTTTACTGAGGAGTGGCTTCCGTCTGGCCACTCTACCATAAAGGCCTGATTGGTGGAGTGCTGCAGAGATGGTTGTCCTTCTGGAAGGTTCTCCCATCTCCACAGAGGAACTCTGGAGCTCTGTCAGAGTGACCATCAGGTTCTTTGTCACCTCCACAAGAGATGTGTTTTAAGGCTATGGAATGCGAAAGTGAATTTATCATTTCCAAATGGTTTAGGTCAGTTGTGTGCTGCTTTGCGATCTATTGACATCTAATAGGCGCAATATTTTTTACTGATGCATTTGCCAATATTCAAATAATACGCACAAAAGCATTCACTGTGAAAGTAGATACATGTAGGCCCTTCATATATAGGCTATGCGCAGCACTTCATTCAATTTATCGGATCAGTTATTGTTTTCTTGCTCAAACCGTTAGCATCACCTGTCAAACTCAGACATTTCTCTCAAAACACAGGGATGTCGATTTGTACGGGACTAGTATTATCAGAGGACCTTGGAGTTCCCCAAAAAAACGTAGGTTACTCTGGCTGGAATTGTTACACTCCTGTCATGTACAAATTACTGACATGGCAGATTCGGACGGGACTAAAATTACAGATGTGGTGTTTTGTGCTTGTGTACATAATTACATTACCTGGCCACCCCCAGTAAAACTAATCCTGTCCGAATAGGGTTTTAGGCAGGGGCTGCGGCATTGTTCTCAATCCCAATATGCTGGTTAATTTTGCTATTATGCACATAGCAACATAGGGAAAGGAGCCAATTCTACGGGGCACTGAAGGTTGTTTGATCCGCGGACAGCGACCATATCAAACGCGGGAGAAAGCGCATTTGTTATGAAATAATATTAGATTTATTAGTGTTGCACCATTTATTTTTGCGTAATATAACCATATACAATTTCAGTATCACATGTCTTGGAGTGATGGACTGTGCCATCCTCGTGGCCTCTGCAATGGATTAGTCCACTGAGACAAGCGGAATCAGACAGTTGTCTTGTGCAACATGAAAAAAAGACCAACAACCTATCGACCAAATAATCGACCGGTCGACTAAATGGGGTCAGCCCTAGATGCTACCATGATTACAGATAATCCTGAATGAGCCGTGAATAATAATTAGTGAGATTTAGACGCAGAATTATCATATCCCCCCCCCAAAAAAATGTTAACCTGCCGTTATTGTAATGGTGAGAGGTTAGCATGTCTTTGGGGTATGATATTTGTGCATCTAACTTTCTCACTCATCATTCACGATTGATTCAGGATTATCTGTAATCATGGTAGCATCCACATTAATGTAGAAGTGTTTAGAAATGTATTTTGTTCTTATTTACAATAGAAGTGACTCCAAAATGACACTACATTATTTACCATCCATTTCTATTGGGCACAAAATCTGAAACACAACAAAAAAAAACAGCAAATGCATCCAACAAATTTGTAGGGTCACAACCCTGATGTAGTCATTGCATGCTATGAATATGGGACCAAATACTAAACTTTTTACTACTTTAATACACAAGTACATTTGTCCCAATACTTTTGGTTCCTTAAAAATGGGAGGACTGTGTACAAAACGTGCTGAAATTTCTAAAACGTTTACTTGATATGGATGAAAATACTCTCAAATTAAAATTGACAGTCTGCACTTTAACCGTAGTCATTGTATCATACTGGAGTACAGAGCCAAAACAACAATAACAACTAACTGGCTAAACACTTTGTTGCAGTTGGAACTCAGTGACAACAGAATCTCTGGTGGCCTTGATGTGCTAGCAGAGAAACTCCCCAACCTCACACATCTAAATCTAAGTGGGAACAAACTGAAGGACATCAGCACATTGGAACCTTTGGTAGGGACACCAAACTCCCGGTAGAGCACAATACAGTACAACACCATCTCATTGTCTCAGGCTATGCCTCAAATTACACTATTCCCCATATAGAGTTTTGACCGTAGACCTATTTGGCAGTGTGTTTGTTTGTTTCCCTATGTGGCTCTGGTCAAAAGTAGTGTAATAGCCTACGAGGAAAAGGTGTTCTATAAGCTCTTGAGAGATTTATTCAGGCAGTGTTATTGACCCCCTAATTAACCTACACCCATTTGGTCCCACAGAAAAAGCTGGACAGCCTGAAGTCTCTGGACCTGTTCAACTGTGAGGTGACCAACCTGAACGACTACAGGGAGAGTGTGTTCAAGCTGCTCCCTCAGCTCACCTACCTGGATGGGTACGACGTGGAGGACCGGGAGGCGTCTGACGTGGATGGGGTGGACGATGAAGACGATGAGGGTTGGCAGCCATTTTTATTTTTTTCCCCAATGTTTTGAGGCAATATAAGAAAATGAAAATGCAGTTGTGGGATTTGAGTTGAGAATGGGGTCTTCTGTAGCTCAGTAGGTAGAGTATGGAGCTTGCAACGGCATAATAGTGGGTTCGATTCCCGGGACCACCCATATGCAAAATGTATGCACACAAGACTGCAAGAGCATCCCAAACATGCTCAATGGGTGACGTCTGAGTTTTCAGCTTCCAGGAATTGTGTACAGATCAAGGGGCCGTGCATTACCATGCTGAAAGACGAGGTGATGGCAGCAGATGAATGACAACAATGGGCCTCAGGATCTCGTCACTATCTCTGTGCATTCAAATTGCCATCGATAAATGCAATTGTGCTCGTTGTCCGGAGCTTATGCCTGCCCATACCATCATGGGGCACTAATGTTCACAACGTTGACATCAGCAATCCGCTCGCCCACACAACGCCATACATGCTGTATGCCATCTGCCCGGTACAGTTGAAACTGGGATTCATCCGTGAAGAGCACATTTCTCCAGGGTGCCAGTGGCCATCGACGGTGAGAATTTGCCAACTGAAGGCGGTTACGACGCCGAACTGCAGTCAGGTCAAGACCCTGGTGAGGACGACGAGCACGCAGATGAGCTTCCCTGAGACTGTTTCTGACAGTTTGTGCAGAAATTATTCGTTTGCGCAAACCCACAGTTTCATCAGCTGTCCGGGTGGCTGGTCTCAGACGATCCCACAGGTGAAGAAGCCGGGCGTGAAGGTCCTGGCTGGCGTGGTCACACGTGGTCTGTGGTTGTGAGGCCAGTTGGACGTACTGCCAAATTCTCTAAAATGACGTTGGAGGCAGCTTATGGTAGAGAAATTAACATTCAATTCTCTGGCAACAGCTCTGGTGGACATTCCTGCAGTCAGCATGCAAATTGCACGCTCCCTCAACTTGTGGCATTGTGTTGTGACAAAACTGCACATTTTAGTGGCCTTTTTTTGTCCCCAGGACAAGGTGCACCTGTGTAATGATCATGCTATTTAATAAGCTTCTTGATTTGCCACACCTGTCAGGTGGATGGGATATCTTGGCAAAAGGGAAATGCTCACTAACAGGGATATTTCTGCTCATGAAACATGGACCAACACTTTACATGTTGCATTTATATTTTTGTTCAGTATATAGTAGAATCCATGTTAGTACATCGTGGATATTGTCATTCAAGGGAATTCTATTGTGTATTTGTAGGATTTTTCAGCATGGATGTGATTTACTACTTTGTTTTTTAGGAGGAACGAAGGATGAGGACGGAGAGGAGGAAGACTTTGACGAGGAGGAGGATGAGGTCAGCGGAGATGAAGAGGTAAAGCCCTTTTTTGGTTTGTTTGTGACAAATAGTTTAAAAGATGAACGGGGGGATATGGTTTGAAAGCTCTGGATTCTGACCTGCTCTGTCCCATCTCCCCAGGAGGAAGACCTTGGTATTGATGATGACGACAACGACGATGGTATGTCATTCTCATACTTTTTGTCACAAGCTCATGTCCAAAGTTCATGTTAAAAAGTTTCACTTTTGGATGCTTTACTTAAGTACAGTATCATATAGTCAAATAACCCTTTCCCATTTCTCCCAGAAGTTGAGGCTGTCCAAGGAGAGACGAGAAAGCAAAAGCCTGATGACAACGATTATGAGCAAAAAATTAGAGCCAATCAAGTTGTCAACCCCTTCCCTCTCCACCCTGACACCCACCCACACCCTGCCTACTCAAAGTCTCTCCCCCAGCTTTGAGCCCCCGTGTGGGGAAAGACTACCGGACTGGTGGTTCAAGTGGAGCTGCCTGCACCCCATGGAACCGAGAGCCGTTCTCAAGCAGCACACTACTCCGCATTCCACAATTTCACTGTCAACTCCCCCTTTATGTATACCTGTGAGGACATTGGGACTGGTATCTAGTTTTGGGTCTGTGCTTTTAATATTTTGTTGGATTAATTATGAATTTTTGTTTTGTTTATTTCTTCCCCTTCTATTTTTCCCCCCAATAAAAGTATTGCTATAGCAACTGTGCGGCCGCCTGCCTGTTGCACAAATCAAGGTTGTAGCTACATTTTTACTTTCTGTATGACAAACTACTTTGTAAATAAAATGTTAACATTTTGCACTTTGCTCTCCTCTGGTCATGCTTTTCTCGTCACATCTAAAGTTGATTAATTGAATGAATCTGATGAGTTAAGTGCCTGTCTCACCTCCTGAGTGCAATGGGTTGCCTCTGTGGGAAAAGTCTAGAACTCATCTATCACACAATATGCACCAAATTGATATTTCAAAGTCACTCTACGAGATGACATGTTGCAGCTTATTTTATTATTTTGAATGGGAGGGAAGGAAAGAAGTTGGCAATAGGAACACATGAAATCAGTTTATTCGTCACATGCTTTGTAAACAGGTGTAGACTGAAATGCTTACTTACGGGCCCTTTCCAACAATGCAGAGAAATTGGAAGTAATAATAAATACACAATGAATAACGATAACTTGGCTATATACAAGGGGTACCAGTACATAATCGATGTGCAGGGGTACGAGGTAGATATGTAATATAATATGTACACATAACTAGGAATAAAGTGACAGTAAACCGTATCAGCAGCTTATGTGATGAGTCAAAGTTAGTGCAAAAAGGGTCAATGCAGATAGTCTGGGTAGCTATTTGGTTACTGAACAAAAATATAAAACACAACATGTAAAGTGTTAGTCCCATGTTTCATGAGCTGAAATAAAAGATCCCAGACATTTTCCATACGCACAAAAAGCTTTTTTCTCTCAAATTGTGCACAAATTTGTTCACATCCCTGTTACTGAGCATTTCTCCTTTGCCAAGATAATCCATTCACCTGACAGGTGTAGCATATCAAGAAGGTGATTAAACAGCATCATTACACAGGTGCACCTTGTGCTGTGGACAATAAAAGGCCACTCTAAAAAGTGCAGTTTTGTCACAACACAATGCCACAGATGTCTCAGGTTTTGAGGTAGCGTGCAATTGGCATGCTGACTACAGTAATGTCCACCAGAGCTGTTGCTCATTGCTCTACCATAAGCCGCAGCCAACGTCGTTTTAGAGAATTTGGCAGTACATACAACCGGCCTCACAACCGCAGACCACGTGTAACCATGGTAGCCCAGGATCTCCACATCCGGCTTCTTCACCTGCGGGATCGTCACGACCAGCCACCCAGACAGCTGATGAAAGAGGAGTATTTATGTCTGCAATAAAGCCCTTTTGTGGGGAAAAACTCATTCTGATTGGCTGGACCTGGCTCCCAAGTGGGTGGGCCTATGCCCTCCCAGGCCCACGCCTCTACCCAGTCATCTGAAATCCATTGATTATGGCCTAATTCATTTATATTTGAAATTGTTGCGTTTATATTTTTGTTCAGTATAACTTCATAAAATAAATAGTGGTACGATCACATGGTATAAACAACAATTTCAACAAGCACCATCTTTACAGGAGAAATAAAACAATCCATGTTTTAGAAAAATAACAATATATAACATTGCATTTATTTGGCTAAATATTCATATGGTCTCGGATTCAACTGTAAAACAATTATTAAGAGCCGATTCCAAAATCAATCCATAGAACCAGAACCATTAGGACCATATAGAACCTGAACCAGAAGCATTCAGCTGGCTAGTTATGTTCCAACAGCCACCGGTCTGACCCGGAGCACCTCAGCGAAGCCCTGTCCAAACCAGCAGGTGATGTCTGCCGTGTCCAAGGTGAAGAAGAAGAGTCTGTCCTTACAGCGGCTCCTCCAATACACAGACCTGGGGTCAACAGATAGGATCCCTCTGATGGCGGCCGCAGCTTCCTTTGGACCGCGCAGGAACCGTAACCTGGGTCGCTCACAGGGTTCTAGAGCAGGACTGCCCAACCCTGTTCCTGGAGAGCTACCGTCCTGTAGGTTTTTGCTCCAACCCTAATCTAGCACACCTGATTCTAATAATTAGCAGGTTGATAAGATGAATCAGGTTAGTAACATACAGGAGGGTAGCTCTCCAGGAACAGGGTTGGGCAGTCCTGCTCTAGAACCTTGTGAGCGACCCAGGTTCTAGAGAAACGGGGACATTTACAGAGGAAGAAACCAGTGAACGCAATAACATATAGATATTTTTTAACAATAGGCCAAATGGATGACGGAGAAACATTACTTTTTTTTTATATCATTGACTTTACTCTGGTAAGATAGTTTAGGCTTGAGATGCAATGATATCTATACAAACCCGCTGCAAAAACAATTGGCGCCACAATGGAGCTCTCTGGTGGATGAATGCACAACTCAGTCCTTTTTAAAAAGCAATAATAAAGCTCTCATGTCAACCTCAGCTCGGGGGGAATTCTATAGGCTTACCTGCATTGATGGGGGCAAGGAACTCATCCAGCTCTCTCTCTGCTTGGGTGTCTTGGCTTTAGGCCCAGCTGAAGCCTGGGACTTTCCTACAGAGCTCCACATGGTGAGGTGGTCATCTCCCTGGCTGATGTAGGCCTTGAGCTCTCCCAGCACAGTGGTGATGTCTTTGCCTGGGGCTTTAGGAGCAGAAGAGCTGTAGGCATCGCCTGGACGGAGGATGTGAACTTTGGATTTGTCTTTTTAGTGGAATATTCTGGGATCTGTGCTATGACTATTCCCTCTCTCAAACCCCATGTCCAACTGGGGATCATCAGTACAGGAGAAAGAAGCTATTGAGTCTGAATGCAACCTCCACACTGGAGGTCTCCTCTTTTGATGGTACATTGGTGCCCTCAGGTTGGACGCCACAGTCATAAGTATGTGTCAATGTTCAGTCTACTGTGTGGGGAGTCATAGTCAGAGATTGTGTGCCTGTGAGAGCTATCTCACTCAGTGTGTCAGATAAGGATATGAATAGATTAAATAGATCTGAATTCATACAATAACATCTGATAATGTTGTAAGATAGAGATTGTTTATGCTGCCTAACAAAAGTACACATTGGCAAATGTGCTCATAGGCTTTCCGCACGTGTCGTAATTTCTAGCTAGCCAACCAGCAATTTATTAACTGGCAACCAGTCTGCCAGGCCTTATGCCACGTTCTGGTCGGAACTAGGAATCTCGTAAATGCTAACTGGTTGAACGTGGCACGTGTATAACTACAACCTATTAGCAAGTCAGACATTTTTCAGAGTTGCCGACTTGCACGTGAACGCGGCATTACTGCCGATTCTTTTGCTTGCTGCCATTATTGCAGTGTTTAACCATTTCACAGCCTCCTAGTCGGTTGCACACACAAGGTTTGATTGCAAAGTTGTCTCAATTATTTGTTCACTTCTACATCAGTGTTGTAGGAGGTCAAAGTTTCCACAATGCGTTAGACACACGGAATGGTTTATTTTATATAGACCTTGGTAGCCATGTTTGTTGTTATCATAAATGCTAAAATGAGGGGCCCTTTATTACAATGCACTTCTAAATCCCCCAGCAATAATCCATTGTTTTTACAGCATGTCCCACAATATTTTTGTGATAAATGGGTGGAGTCTTTTAGACATTTTTCCCGATTCAGTAGGGACCCTGATATTTAGCTAGCTAGCTACGCAAACAAAAATGTTTCACTCGTTTTTATTAGTCATCCACATCTTGTACACTACAGCTACCATTACCCCCCACCCCCACCCTTTTAGCTAGCTAGCTAGCTAGCCATAACGTAACGGCGCTTTATATATCAAGCTTGCTAACAGTCGACTGAAGTCATTGAGGGGCCATTGCCAGATACAATATCGCAGATCATCTTCTACTTGCCTTACATCCCATTAAAATGTTACATTGTTCGGTTTGATATTCATAAACTAATTTATTTTCTGGCGAGTTAAAGCTGATTGTTATATACACTCACTAGTCAGTTTATATGACGTATATAAACCCTGGATTGCTGATGCTATTTATTGGCCATTGAGAGGCTTTGACACCACCGGTCGGCCATATTGGCACGCCATAGGAGGAGCAGTCCTCCATAGGAATGAATGGGATTCTGCAGTATTTCAATTTTATGTTTCAAGGACAAAATTCTATGTACAGTTAAGTATTTGTTTTGTTGTAGTGGGGACAGTAAAATTAGTACTCTAAAAAAAAAAATACTTTAAGGAAAATGTTTTAATATTTTTTCATGTTTAGCTCGCATAATATACACTTTAGGTATGCATTAAGTTGTCTGTAATAGAATACGTGTCAAAAACAAATGTAGACATTAATAAATGCATTTCTATAGCTTCCAAAGTACTGTTTTACAATTGAGGAGGACTGCCAAGATGGCTGCTCGGTGGCTTCAATACAGTACCCCCTGTTAGTCATCCAGGGTTTATACACATCATTGTAAACCACCCCGTTCACGAAAATGGATCGCTCCTACAAACAGTGAGTCACGTGGCCGTGGCTTGCCATATAAAGCAGGTAGACAGGCATCTAGTTATACTGTTCGATTGAACGTTAGAATGGGTAAAAAGAGTGACCTAAGGGACATTGAGCGTGGTATGATCGTCGGTGCCAGACGCGCCGGATCCAGTATATCACAAACGGCAGCACTCCTGGGCTTTTCACGCACGACAGTGTCTGTGGTTTACCGAGAATGGCGCGACAAACAAAAAACATCCAGTCAGCGACAGTCCAGTGGGCGTAAACAGCTCGTTGATAAGAGAGGTCGAAGGAGATTGGAAAGAATAGTGCAAGCTAACAGGCGGGCCACAATTAGACAAATAACGGCGCAGTACAACAGTGGTGTGCAGAACAGCATCTCGGAACGCACAACTCGTCGATCCTTGTCACGGATGGGCTATTGCAGCAAACGGCGGGCAAATGAGGAGTGGAAAAACATCGCCTGTGTAGATAAGGTAAAGGAGTCAATGGAATGCAGACCGTTCCATTGACCAGTTTGGCGCACATTCAACAAATCTGACCTAACAAAGTGGATATTTGTCAAATCAGACATCTATGTATTGTAACAGGCCCACAATGTGGTTACTTAAGTCCGATTAATATGTTTGGCTGTTTTCGCTGCATAACGTTTAGAAGTTGCCCCTTTTCAGGTTCAGAAGTGACTGCTAAATTAACTCCCGTTCAGCTAAGCTGGTTAGCTAGCACACAGAAATCGGTGGTAGTAAGTCAAGTCGTTCTTAACTGTAAGAGTTGATTGGTTACGAATACATGAACGTGTTGAGGTTGACGTCCATAGAAGCGTTATACTCAACATTGTGTGAAATAAACAATAGCCTAAATGTAAACTGTTGTTGCGAGCGGTCAACGAATGTTTGGTTCCAGCCATATTATTCCTCGCAACTACCACGAAAGAGATCAAAATACTTATTGAAACTGGCCAACAACCTCCACGTTCAGTGTTGATATTTTGTATGTTGTGTTTATAATTTAGACATTTCTAATGTATAGGCTAGACAATGTACTAATAACATGTTGTTCGCCGGCTTGTGAAGTAGCCGGCCTGAATGACACGAGACCGAGCAAAAGGCGTTTGGTGTGTGGGTTGCTAAAACTCCGTTCGACCCGCTCTGGCTTTTCATGCAAACATTAATAAAGGTATTCTACATTAAATACATTTGAATTGATATGTTTTACGTCATTACTGCATGTAAACAGTCATTCTTCTTCGGAGAGTTTTGAGAACTGCATCTCAGGAATCGCCATGTTGTCATTCTGCCGTCTTTGAAGCTCTAGAGAAAGGAACTCCATCTTTGTTTTACTAATAACCAGTGTGCAACTGCAGCCCGCAATTCGGGGCGTACTTCTATGATATCATGGCGGTCCGCAAACAAACGTTTTAAGTGCATGCCGCCACCTACTGTGCTGGCATGTACGCTCAATCATGATTCGGTACTACCATGAAAATAAAATTCAAAACCAAATAACTTCTACCCCCCCCCCCCCCCTCAAAAAAAAAACACTCCCCAACCCCATTAAACTTTATTTATATAATGCTGAGACACTCCACCCTTAGGATTGTTCAGCATGTCAACTATTTCAACAGTAACACCTGTTACCCCCAATATCTCTTTTGCCTTCTCCACAATAACCTTCAACCTGGCATTTCTGCTTTCCACAACCCAAGTCGTATTGATACCTTAATAAAAGCTATGAAGTCAACTTTATTCATTATAAAAGTGTCCTGACATCACACATTCATGAGCACAAGATTTCTGAACAGGCCTCGAAACCATGCTAGGACCATTAAAAAAAAAACCCAACCCCAACATTAGGTCCACTTACTACAGGTACATCCATGTAAGCTCCATCATCACACTAGTTCTACCAATCTGTTTTACAGCCTCTGCATATGATACATCATGACTGGTCCTATATCTCTGAGCCTTTCTAGCCTCTCTCTCTCTGTAGCTGGCATCCACCAAGTGTTCTCCCCCACAATTACAGCACTTAACCTTCACATTGCTACCACAGTCACCGTAATCATGTTCCCCTCCACACTAGGCACATCTTTCCTTTACACTGAGCAGCTACATGTCCCATGCTTTGGCATTTAAAACGCTGCGGTGCATATGGGTCATTCTCTAACATTGAAACTAAGGAATCCTATCTGTACTTTTCCCGGCAAGACTTTCTAAAACCACAGCATCACTGTTAAGCTTTCACTTCTTTGACCCTCTTTCCTACTGATCAACATTTTGGCTTCAATCACTCTGCCTCCCTTCACATTTTCTTTAATGTCATCTGTGGACATAGATATTGGGACCCAGGTGATGACTCCCCTTAACCTAGCATAAGCACCAGGTACATGGCTTTTAATCTTCTTCCCATTATGTTTTTCCATTTGCAGAATCTTCCCTTGCTGAGCCTGGCTACCACAAAAAAATTAGCAATCTACCATTTCCAATCAACCGGGCGAGTTTAACTTCACTTATCTCTTTCTCTACGGCGTTAGTCGGATAGGGTGTAAATGAGGCCCTATGGTCTCAAACTCCACAACTTTCCACTCCGACATATTACTTTTGCTTCCTACCTTGACCCTCTTTTTACTTTCTACACTAGCCGCTCCACTGCTTTCAGTATCATGATCTCTCTTCTTCCTATGTCTTTCCACTACAGACCATTCAGATCCTTGAGCCTCATCCTCCCGCTCCATATCATCAGAGCGGTCACCCATACTGATCGCACAGCTGTTGCTTCTCCATTTCGTCCACACTACTTGCCACCATTTCCCCTAATTTTTCTATCCTCTTCGGGGGCATCTTGCATGTGGGTATTCCTGCATCTAGCATTTATTTGCCTATTTCTGTTATGGAACGCCTACTCTGAAGTGTGCAATAACTGAATTTGCCCTTGCACTCCTAAACAACTACATTTTTAGAAATTTTGGCAAAGGGTGAAGTCTACAAAACGCAGTCCACTGTCTGTTACAGATTCTAGTTTTGGAAACAATACTGTATGGAGCTCAAATGTTTAATCGCTGAGAAAATTTGCAGAATGTCAGCCAAAATCCATCTTCTCCCACTGCCGGCCACTGGGCTTCCTCTCACCACCTTATTTGGTAGTGAGTGGAAACTCCAACCGGATACTTCACATTTATACATCCGGTGAAATATCTGGCTAATTGTTCTGCGCTACTGGTCTGTACTAGCTATAGCAAAGAGGAAGAGAGGCCCAACTCGGCTGAAAATCTGTCTCCCTCCAACAGGTAGTGTTGTTTCGCCCACAAAGCAAGGAGTTTTTGTATGGAGGTCAATGAGCGTCGAATTTGGTCAACAACAAAAAAAATTATGGCTTATTTGCTACGTGAGGTTTATTTGATCTAAAAAGTTTCATAATGCTTAAGTTAAGTGTACTGATATGTAGGTCACGTGACATCCTGGCAACTTTGGGAAAAAAAAAAAAAAACGTATCGGGATGGCTATGCATATTCATAGCATAAGGCTAATAGCATAGTATCTCTCCCCATTGAATACAGGCTGTTGATGTCAACAACCCTCATCGAATATTCAAAAAAGGATTACAAAAAAAGGATTACAATAATGAGATGTATCCAGCCCGCCGTGCCGCTTTGTGGACAACGACTCCCATTGTTATGATGGAGAGACATGCATCTTGTCAGTATATCCATAATCTTTGGCTATAGCTAGCTAGTCTTCTGGTGGGGTTATCGGCTGTTAGCTACCAACTTTATGGTACATTAGCTCCATCTACTGTACTGGAGCGCTCGTCTCCCGCCTATGTACTGGAGTCGTAGCTTAAAAATGGCCCAATAGAAGTATAAAGAGGGGTTCCTGCAGATGCAGGAATGCCCACATGCATTACATTTACATTTTAGTCATTTAGCAGACGCTCTTATCCAGAGCGACTTACAGTTAGTGAGTGCATACATTATTTTATATTTATTTTTCATACTGGCCCCCCGTGGGAATCAAACCCACAACCCTGGCGTTGCAAATGCCATGCTCTACCAACTGAGCTACATCCCTGCCAGCCATTCCCTCCCCTACCCTGGACGACGTTGGGCCAATTGTGCGCCGCCCCATGGGTGTCCCGGTCGCGGCCGGCTACGACAGAGCCTGGATTCGAACCAGGATCTCTAGTGGCACAGATAGCACTGCGATGCAGTGCCTTAGACCACTGCGCCACTCGGGAGGCTAACGCCCCGATGCAGAAACGCCCCGATTTGCGGGCTGCAGTTGCAACCTTCTAATTTCTAACAAACTGTCCTATCGGTCGTTCGCTCGACAGCTAGTGAATCAATTTCCCCAAAAATGTTTTAGCTTTACAGAGTATATTTGCAATCCTTCCCGTTGCTGTAGGGTAGTTAATGGCAGGCAGTCAGGCTTCTCTTGCAGCTCTTCAATTGCACGGCAGCGCTTAAAAGGGCAATGGCTAGCCTGTAGCGAGCTTGCTAACAAAAAGCATTGCATTTGTCATTAGTGACTGCATCAGCGCGCCAAGTGAAGGTAGAACTGTATTGTGCGGTTCTTCCTCGTGGCAGCGGTTTCAAAGAAACAACTGCGGTGCCTCGACATAAAACAATGCAACCAAATACTTTTATTGATGGCTCCACTCGACAGCCTTATCAATGTTTCACTTTGTTACTGTGCAAATCATGATCTTTGATGTTCAACGTTAACTTTATTCAACCTTTTTAATCAAGCTTTTGGTTGCGCAATGACTGTCCCTGACTATTAAACGTGAACTCTGCTCTTTAAATTATTAAATGTAACATTTTGTAGCTAGGAACTGAGAAGTTGAAGGATTCATACAGAAGTCAGGAGAAACTCCTATTAATGCGGTCCATATTTTGTGTATTGGACTTTTTTCATCCTTTAGTTTATATTCAAGCTTAGTTTTTTTAATGCAGCTAGTTACTGTTGCCAACATGTGACCATTCTAAAACAGGTTTTCCACACCACTTTTACATATGCATAAAATAACGTTATAATATGGGTGCATTACCCATGTGTTTAATGCATCTGTAAACAATGCATGCTTACGTTTTTCTTTGAATTACATGGATTTCAATTTTACAAATGGTATTTTATCCTTATAGGTACGAGAACTTGTCCTGGACAACTGCAGATCAAATGAAGGGAAAATCAAAGGCCTCACAGCAGAATTCGTCAATCTGGAATTCCTCAGTTTGATAAACGTTGGCTTAATATCAGTCTCCAACCTTCCCAAACTTGGGAAACTCAAAAAGGTAACGTTTTGCTTATTATTATTTTACACAAGCTTATTCCAGTAAAAGTGACATTTGTGTTTACTTCTTTTGAAAAATAACTTCAATTCTGGCTGTGGGGGTAGAAGGAGCCATGGTTAATCCCTAATGTCATCCTATTCCCTATATAGTGCACAACTTTTGTGGGTCCTGGTCAAAAATAGTGCACTATGTTCTGTAAGGAATAGGGTTCCATTTGGGACAGTCATTGTTTTCTGAAAGACTTACTTGTTTGGGCGTTTAGACAGAAGTGACTGATATATCTTCACATTATGTTGCAGTTGGAACTCAGTGACAACAGAATCTCTGGTGGCCTTGACGTGCTAGCAGAGAAACTCCCCAACCTCACACATCTAAATCTAAGCGGGAACAAACTGAAGGACATCAGCACATTGGAACCTTTGGTAGGTACACCAAACTCCCGGTAGAGCACAATACAGTGTGACACCATCTCATTGTCTCAGGCTATGCCTCAAATGACACTTCCCCATATAGATCTTTGACCCATTTGGTCCCACAGAAAAAGCTGGACAGCCTGAAGTCTCTGGACCTGTTCAACTGTGAGGTGACCAACCTGAACGACTACAGGGAGAGTGTGTTCAAGCTGCTCCCTCAACTCACCTACCTGGATGGGTACGACGTGGAGGACCGGGAGGCAACCGACTCGGACGGAGAGGTGGACGATGACGACGATGAGGGTGGGAAGCCATTTAGTTTTTGTGTTGAGGAAATGGAAGCGCAGATGTGAGTTGAGAATGGGGGTCTTCTGTAGTTCTGTTGGTAGAGCATGGCGCTTGCAATGCCAGGATAGTTGGTTTGATTCCCGGGACCACCCATACGTAAAATGTATCGCATGACTAAGTCGCTTCGGATAAAAACATTATATATTACAATCCATATTAGTACATCGTGGGTGTTTTGTCATGCAAGGCAATTCTATTGTGTATTTGTAGGGTTTGTCTGCATGTATCTGTGTGATGACTGACAATGGAGGTGGGGTAATTGTTTTTTAGGAGAGGATGAGGACGGAGAGGAGGAAGACTTTGATGAGGATGGTGATGAAGAGGAGGGAGTAGTAGGAGAGGAGGATGATGAGATCAGCGGAGATAAGGCAGTAAAGCCCTTTTTGGTTTGTTTGTGACTCAATAGTTTAAAAGATCAACAGGGGGGGATATGGTTTGAGAGCTCTGTGGATTCTGACCTGCTCTGTCCCTTCTCTCCAGGATGAAGACCTTGGCATTGATGGTGAAGTTGACGAAGATGGTACGTCATTCATACTTTGTCACAAGCTCATGTTAAAAAGTTTCACGTTTGGATGCTTTACTAAGTACAGTACCTTTATAGTATAATGACCCTTTCCCATTTCTCCCAGAAGTAGAGGCTGTCCAAGGAGAAAAGAGAAAGCAAGAGCCTGACGACGATGAGCAAAAAACGACAGCCTATCAAGTTACCAACCCCTTCCCTTTCCCTCTCCACCCTGACACCCACCCTGCCTACTCCACGTCTCTCCCCCAGCTTTGAGCCCCTGTGTGGGGCAAGACTGTACCAGACGGGGTGGTCCGAGTGGAGCTGCCTGTGCCCTATGGAACCGAGAGCCATTCCCAAGGTTCTCAAGCAGCGCACTACTCCGCATCCCACAATTTCACTGTCAACTCCCCCTTTCTGTATACCTGCCTGAGGACTTTGGGACTGATATCTAGTTTTGGGTCTGTGCTTTTAATATTTTGTTGGATGAATGAATACATTTTTTATGTTGGGTTTATTTCTTACCCCTCTTCTTTTTGTCTGCTTTATCTTTTTTTCCCCCCAATAAAATTGCTATAGCAACTGTGCGACTAGCGAGCTATGATTGTGTGGCCGCCTGTTGCACAAATCACGGTTGTAGCTACATTTTTTTTTTTTTTTTAAGAACAAACTTTGTAAATAAAATGTTAACATTTTGCGCTTTGCTCTCCTGCCATGCTTTTCTCTTGTCACATCTAGAGTTGAATGAATCTGATGGGTTAAGTGCCTGTCTCAACTCCTGAGTGCAATGGGTTGCCTCTGTGGGAAAAGTCTAGAACTCATCTTTCTATCACACAATATGCACCAAATGCCTCAATGGATACTTCAAAGTCACTCTACAAGATTACATGTTGCAGCTTATCATTTTATTTTGAATGGGAGGGAAGGGGGGGGAAAAAGACTGCAATAGGAAGACATGAAATCCACTTCAACTCAAATGTTATTCGTCACATGCTTTGTAAACAGGTGTAGACTAACAGGAATGCTTTCTTACGGGCCCTTCCCAACAATGTAGAGAACTAATAAAGTAATACAAATAATGGTTGATGCTCAATGAGTAACGATAGCTTGGCTACATACAAGGGGTACCAGTACCGAGTCCATGTGCAGAGGTACGACGTAATAACTTGGCTATAAACACAGGGTACCAGTACCGAGTCCATGTGCAGAGGTACGAGGTAATAACTTGGCTATAAACACGGGGGTACCAGTACCGAGTCCATGTGCAGAGGTACCAGGTAATTGAGGTAGATATGTACATATAACTAGGAATAAAGTGACAGATAATAAACAGTAGCAGCAGTGTATGTGGTGAGTCAAAGGAGTTAGTGCAAAAAGGGTTATTGCAGATAGTCCGGGTAGCTATTTGGTTAACTATTTAAAAAGGTATAATATGCAGAAATCGGACCGCCATTTCCTGCTTGCTAAAATGTGAATAGTTAGCCTAATTTCAGTTTGTGACAAAACTCTGGACCACGAAACCAGTTCCACTACTTGTTTTCATTGTTCCCCTCTAAATCAGGGATTTAGACCTGGGACACCAGGTGGGTACAATTAATCATCAGGTAGAACAGAACCAGCAGTCGCTGGACCTCATAGGGTAAGAGGTGAGAATCATTGTACCATCTTAACCGCTGTGAAATATATTTTCAATAACCAAAGATATTGTATTTTCAGCTGTTTGAAGCTGGTGTACAAAACCGAAAGTAAAAGGCACAAAAACTAAACTTAGGAACGGGAAACATAGACATAGAGCACATAAAACATATCTACCCCCTCTTAGACTTGCTTTCAATGAGAATTAAAGATCTATTACTACTTTTATATGTGAATCTGGTCGGGTCGCCCAAAAAGATACATGTTGCAGCTTTAACTAACTATTTAGCAGTCTTATGGCTTGGGGGTAGAAGCTGTTCAGGGTCCTGTTGGTTCCAGCTTGGTGCATCGGTACCGCTTGCCGTGTGGTAGCAGAAAGAACCGTCTGACTTGGGTGGCAGGAGTCTGACAATTTTTTGGGCCTTCCTCTTACACCGCCTAGTATAGACGTCATGGATGGCAGGGAGCTCGGCCCCAGTGATGTACTGGGCGGTACGCACTACCCTCTGTAGCGCCTTGCGGTCGGATGCAGTTGGTCAAGATGCTCTCAGTCGTGCAGCTGTATAACCTTTTGACTTTGAGGGCCCAAGCCGTGCCCTCTTCAGAACGGTGTTGGTGTTTGGACCATGATAGAACCTTAAAGGCTCTGCATGGTCAATCCGACATCTGCAGTGGCCGTACAATATTTACTGCGAAGCGGCCTCCCAAGAAGTCAGAGCATTCATACTTCTTGCGCTTCACATAGCAGCCTGTTGTGAAGCAAGTTGTCAAGGAAGTGAGTTTCTGTTCATACATGACCTCTCATCCACCACCTACCGTCAACCAATCATGCCAATGTGGAGCTATACAGAGCCCTAGGCATTGTTTAAAACATTGGGAGGTGCACGGCGATGCGGAACAGAGCTCGATTTGGCCTCCGGAAGCTCTGCAATTACTTCAAACCCTCCGTACGGAGCCTCCGGATGGCATTTCTGGAGTAAGCATAAATTGGCTTTTATTGATGTGGACACCGAGGAACTTGAAGCTCTCGACCCGCTCCACTACAGCCCTGTTGACGTGGATGGGGACGTGCTCGGCCCTCCGTTTCCTGTAGTCCACCATCAGCTCCTTTGTCTTGCTGACGTTGGGGGAGAGGTTGTTGTCCTGGCACCAAACTGCCAGGTCTCTGACCTCCTCCCTATAGGCCAGGGATGGGCAACTGGCGGACCACGGGCCGCCCCCCTTTTGTAGGCCCGCAGACCAATAAAAAAAAAGTTGGGGTCTCAACTAACTGTTGTTAGAATGATAGAATACACAAGGTGCAATTTCGAAATGTGGTTGTGCATCAGAAGTCACTTAATTAGCCCATTTCAGCAAAACATTTTTAGATTGGTAAGTTAGTCTAGCGGCCAGCTATCTAAACTTGTAGTAAGCAAGGTAGAATTACCGACCGGGTGGGGCCCATTGATCATCAGTTATCATATTAAAAACTGCAAACATTTGCCTCCACCCTACGGCAAAATATGTAGAATTGCAGGAAAGTAGCTGTAAAACTGCAAATTTCTCTCCGCCCCATGACAAAATGTGTAGAATTGCATGAACTGAACTTTAAAACGTAAACGTTTTATCTTCGCTGTCACGAGGGGGGCCGCTAAAATGTTTTGCTCGCAAGGGGGGGGGGATATGGATGTGGGTACGCAGACCCACAAGCCACCTCTTGATGAGTTCCGTTTTTTTGTGGCCCCCACCCCCATCAATGTTGCCCATCCCTGCTATAGGCTGTCTCATCGTCGTCAGTGATTAGGTCTACCACCGTCGTGTCGTCGGCAAACGTAATATTGGTATTGGGAGTTGTGCGCAGCTACACAGTCGTGGGTGAACAGGGAGTATAGGAGGGGACTAAGCACGCACTCCTGAGGGGCCCCTGTGTTGAGGGTCAGTGTGGCGGATGTATTGATTCCTACCCTCACCTCCTAGGTGGCAGCCAGTCAGGAAGTCCAGGATCCAGTTGCAGAGGTTCAGTCTTACGGTCCTTAGCTTAGTGATGAGCTTCGAGGGCACTATGGTAGTGATCTTCTCGTGGACATGATGATAGCTTGCGTGGCTGGGCTACTGTCAGAATACAAACAACCTGGTATTATTGTTGGAGCAATATCCGACCTGTTACCAACTTGGCTGGCTAGCTAGCCTTTAAACAAAATGCTGGTGTGTATTCATTAGTCGGATTCCATCAGCAAACTGAACAAAATGTATCCAATAGAAACTCTCGTTTTCGTGGGAAAATGTTTTTGGTTTGGAGTAAATGGTTTCCGTTGTAGAACGTTTCGCAACAGACGAAACATTCTGCAACTGAATCCGACTAATGAACACACCCCTAGGGTGTAATCATTCCACCAATAATTTGCAACACGTTTCGTTTACAACTAAAACGAGAGTCTCTATTGGACAAATTCAGGTAGATTCCTCCCCGTTTCGTTCTGTTTAAGAAACGTTTTGCAACAGAATCACTGGAAATAATACACCCCTGATGTACAGTATGTAACTGGTTAACTAGGGAACGTAAAATAGCTGATGGGTTACAGAAGATGTAACGTTATTACGTTGACTTAACTTAGCTAATACGCCTACCATTGAGCATATTATTCACTGTGTTAAAGGACAAAGTTAATGCAGAATTTGAAGTTCACATTTGTGTAACGTTAAGTAAGTTGACGTTAGCTAGTTAGCTACAGTAGCTAGCGTCTAACGTTAGAGTTACTCGCTAACGTTATGAAACGTGACCCTATTTAAATTATTCGGCTACAAAGCGCAGTAGATAAAAGTCAGAGCTATTTCATATGGTTAATATGAACAGCTACTTACCTAAATAAAATGTATTTGAAAGAAGTAAACAAACATGCAGCAGTAAACGTCAACCGCCTGTTCTTCATTCAAACATGAGTAGGTTCGCTGCTATTGGTTATAAACCGTAAACGTCAACTCTCCATCGCCATCACGTAAATCTATGGGGTCGCCGTTTACCCATTACTGCCACCTGCTGTTGTGTTTGTTTAGTGCACCGTATTATTTTCGAACGTTTCAGATACTGCATGTTTGCAAAGACAAAATTCAATGGAAGTCACAGTCAATGCCCATACTGGATTTGAGTAATTTTATTCACAAGACAGTATTTATTTTATTTTCATACAAAAGACTTAACATTCAAACATTCCAAGTCAAGTTGTATACACAAACAAACTAACCCTCTGCATCTGTCCCACTCGATGATTGGCATTCACTTTGTAATACAGACACAGCAAACTTGAATATATTGAATATCGCACGCTATTCCATCACACAAAAACTACCATCCATCTTTCATCATCATCACTAAACCTTCAGATAAGCAAAGCATACATTTATGTCTGTCTATCTTTACTTTTTCGGCTCCTGACCAGTGGTTTAGGAGTGACCCTACTCTCCCCCCCTACCCTCTAGCCCTATAGTCATGGAGCTCCTGCTGGCTAGCTCCACCCCCATCCTGATCATGGGCACACTGCAGCGGCGGAAGAGCGTGCCCATGCCCATCCTCTCCTTCAGCAGGCTGTCGCTGATGGCACCCAGGGACAACTTCCTTCCCCTCCCCAGGCACTGGCAGAGCAGTGCCTCCACGGTGGGACTGGCCCCCAGCTGAGATGTCCTCCTGCGGGGGCAGAGTGAGGAAGGAGGCCACAGCTGGTAGGAAAGGCTGATCTGTCCCAGTAAGGCCTCAGTTAGACTCATGTCTAGCTTCCAGTCCTTAGATGGGGAGGTTGTCTTCCCCTCCTTAGACCCTCCAGTCAAGGCCTTCTTTGTCTCAGGTTTTGCCTCTGGCAGCTTCACTGTTTTATAGTGGTTCTCCCACTTTGCCCAGAGGTGTGCTGGAAGGGGCTTGTAAATCATTTACACTTACATTTTAGTAATTTAGCAGACACTCATATCCAGAGCGACTTACAGTTAGTGAGTGCATACATTATTTATTATTATTGTTTTGTATCTTAACATTTTTTTCTTCTATTTTTTCATTTTCTTTTTTTTCATACTGGTCCCCCGTGGGAATCGAACCCACAACCCTGGTGTTGCAAGCGCCATGCTCTACCAACTGAGCTACACGGGACTACAATCAAGACCTTTCAGAACAATTGAGGCAGGCCTTTCCCTGGCGGTGGCTTCGAGTGGCCTGTGACCTTCTGGTCAATTGCACAATAAAAGGCATTCTGCTTGACTGCTCTCTGGTGTTTGACCAGAACTTGACCAGATTTATCATGACCACAAAGCCTGGGGGACTGCGGCCTCAGATATACAGTGGGGAGAACAAGTATTTGATACACTGCCGATTTTGCAGGTTTTCCTACTTACAAAGCATGTAGAGGTCTGTAATTTTTATCATAGGTACACTTCAACTGTGAGAGACGGAATCTAAAACAAAAATCCAGAAAATCACATTGTATGATTTTTAAGTAATTAATTTGCATTTTATTGCATGACATAAGTATTTGATCACCTACCAACCAGTAAGAATTCCGACTCTCACAGACCTTTTCGTTTTTCTTTAAGAAGCCCTCCTGTTCTCCACTCATTACCTGTATTAACTGCACCTGTTTGAACTCGTTACCTGTATAAAAGACACCTGTCCACACACTCAATCAAACAGACTCCAACCTCTCCACAATGGCCAAGACCAGAGAGCTGTGTAAGGACATCAGGGATAAAATTGTAGACCTGCACAAGGCTGGGATGGGCTACAGGACAATAGGCAAGCAGCTTGGTGAGAAGGGAACAACTGTTGGCGCAATTATTAGAAAATGGAAGAAGTTCAAGATGACGGTCAATCACCCTCAGTCTGGGGCTCCATGCAAGATCTCACCTCGTGGGGCATCAATGATCATGAGGAAGGTGAGGGATCAGCCCAGAACTACACGGCAGGACCTGGTCAATGACCTGAAGAGAGCTGTGACCACAGTCTCAAAGAAAACCATAAGTAACACACTACGCCGTCATGGATTAAAATCCTGCAGCGCACGCAAGGTCCCCCTGCTCAAGCCAGCGCATGTCCAGGCCCGTCTGAAGTTTGCCAATGACCATCTGGATGATCCAGAGGAGGAATGGGAGAAGTTCATGTGGTCTGATGAGACAAAAATAGAGCATTTTGGTCTAAACTCCACTCGCCGTGTTTGGAGGAAGAAGAAGGATGAGTACAACCCCAAGAACACCATCCCAACCGTGAAGCATGGAGGTGGAAACATCATTCTTTGGGATGCTTTTCTGCAAAGGGGACAGGACGACTGCACCGTATTGAGGGGAGGATGGATGGGGCCATGTATCGCGAGATCTTGGCCAACAACCTCCTTCCCTCAGTAAGAGCATTGAAGATGGGTCGTGGCTGGTCTTCCAGACATGACACGACCCCGAAACACACAAGCCAGGGCAACTAAGGAGTGGCTCCGTAAGAAGCCATCTCAAGGTCCTGGAGTGGCCTAGCCATCTCCAGACTGAACCCAATAGAAAATCTTTGGAGGGAGCTGAAAGTCCGTATTGCCCAGCGACAGCCCCGAAACCTGAAGGATCTGGAGAAGGTCTGTATGGAGGAGTGGCCCAAAATCCCTGCTGCAGTGTGTGCAAACCTGGTCAAGACCTACAGGAAACGTATGATCTCTGTAATTGCAAACAAAGGTTTCTGTACCAAATATTAAGTTCTGCTTTTCTGATGTATCAAATACTTATGTCATGCAATAAAATGCAAATGAATTACTTAAAAATCATACAATGTGATTTTCTGGATTTTTGTTTTAGATTCCGTCTCTCACAGTTGAAGTGTACCTATGATAAAAAATTACAGACCTCTACATGCTTTGTAAGTAGGAAAACCTGCAAAATCGGCAGTGTATCAAATACTTGTTCTCCCCACTGTATCAGTGCTCAGACCGTACTTTTTCATGGTTTTCAGCAGCAGGTCATTGATAGGACCGTTACCCTCCTGAGCTGCGTACCACAGAACCATGTGACCGTGCTTGTCGACGCAGTTCAGGTCATAGTCCAGTGCTTTGAGGATGAAGTCAGCTTTTAACATGGTGGAGATTCAGTGGTCCCATTACTTCCTAGGCAATTCAAGTCAACTGGTGAAGGCGTTGTTCTCTCTGTCTCTCTGTTCAGTGAACTCTTTACATCCCAATTTAACAACACACAGTTAATGAGTTGTAATTTGCTGACCCTAAAAACAGTGTCTCCTCAAACAAAAACAACCACTGTGAGTGTGACTCTGAGCCTCCAACTCTCACAAGAATACAAAGTAGTAGTGTGAAAGAGTGATTTGCTGTTGCTATTGGAAATGGGAGTGGTTCTAGTAGTAAATCTACGCCAGGCAATGAAAGGCCCACTCCACTCCATCCAACAATGAGAAGTTGACCAATCCCACAGACTGTTGTCACACTGGATATAGACAGAGGGCAATTCACTTCCCAATATAAATCCTTGAATTTAAAATACTTTGTACTGGACATTGGATTACTAAAACTGAGAGGTTGACAAAGGTCAAGGGAAATAGTGGAAGCAATTTTGGAATCTATATCCTAGCATAGTGGAGTTGATATTAAAGCTGTGCAACAATCTAACTTAGATAGTAATGGTAGTGAACATGCCTTTACTAAACAGAACTCAACCGTAAAGATTCCAACTGATAAGTGATAGTGTGCACTGCAGTGTACTGAGGTGCACTCTCCCAGCCTAGAGGTGCTTGGGATAAATGCTCTATAATGTAACTTACTTAGTAAAATAAATATCATATGGTATAACCAACAATTTCAACAAGCACTCTATCTTTACAGGAGAAATAAAACAATCCATGTTTTAATAAAACAATTGTTTATAACATTGCATTTATTTAGTTAAATATTCATATTTTCTCAGATTCACCTGTAAAACAATTATTGAGTGCTGATTCCAAAGTCAATCCATAGAACCAGAAGCATTCAGCTGGCCAGTTCTGTTCCAACAGCCACCGGTCTGACCCGGAGCACCTCAGCGAAGCCCTGTCCGAACCAGCAGGTGATGTCTGCCGTGTCCAAGGTGAAGAAGAAGAGTCTGTCCTTACAGCGGCTCCGCCGATACACTGACCTGGGGTCAGCAGATAGGACCCCTTTGATGGCGGCCGCAGCTTCCTTTGGACCGCGCAGGAACCGGAACCTGGGTCGGTCACGAGGTTCTAGAGAAACGGGGACATTCAGAGAGGAAGAAGCCAGTGAACATAGATCTACTTTAACAATAGGCCAAATGAAAAATGATGGCCAATGGATGACGGAGAAACATTACTTTTTTAATACCATTGACTTTACTCTGGTAAGAGTTTAGGCATGAGATGCAATGATATCTATACAAAACACGTTGCAAAAACAATTGGCGCTACAATGGAGCTCCCTTTTAAAAAGCAATAATAAAGCTCTCAAGTCAACCTCAGCTCAGGGGGAATTCTATAGGCTTACCTGCATTGATGGGGGCAAGGAACTGCCCCAGCTCTCTCTCTGCATGGGGGGTGAAGCGCACCTCCAGATTGGTCACAGGAGGCTCCCTGATCCAGCCAGCGATGGTGCTGTAGGCCTCTTGCCCATAGCAAGGCCTAGCACTATCTTCCACTGGCTCCAATGGCTTGGCTTTAGGGCCATCTGAAGCCTGGGACTTTCCTACAGAGCTCCCCAGGGTGAGGTGGTCATCTCCCTGGCTGATGTAGGCCTTGAGCTCCCCCAGCACAGTGGTGAGGTCTTTGAATGGGGCTTTAGGAGCAGAAGAGCTGGAGGCATCGCCTGGACGGTGGATGTGAACTTTGGATTTGTCTTTTGAGTGGAATATTCTGGGATCTGTTCTATGACTATTCCCCTCTCTCAACCCCCAAGTCCAACTGGGGATCATCAGTACAGGAGAAAGAAGCTATTGAGTCTGAATGCAAACTCTCCACACTGGTGGTCCCCTCTTCTGATGGTACATTGGTGCCCTCAGGTTGGACGCCACAGTCATAAGTATCTGTGTCAATGTCCAGTCTACTGTGTGGGGAGTCATAGTCAGAGATGTAGGGTTTGATATCCAGGACAGGGGTGCCTGCGATCATGTCTATCTCACTCAGATGAAGTGTGTCATCTAGAGAAAGTAGAAACCACATAGCAGGCAGTTCGAAATTGAACAATAGTGTTCCTATGGCATGCCAAGCTTATAAATTAGGGGGACAATAAGGCTAGAACATGCCTGCAATAATGTCTGATACACCCTATAAAAACACACACTCTCTCACACACACACATACATACACAATGTACTGCTCAACCTGAAAAGAGACTGCAACATTCTGGGGGTTATATATTAGGGGATGCACCGTCACACTGCGCAGAACAGCAAAGCAATTCGAGCTGGTTTTGGCGACTGATACTAACCTGTGACTCTGTCTAGCTTGGCCAGGGTCAGACCCAGGGCGTTGGGCCGGTGGGGGCTACGTGTGGAGTACACCCCTACCCTCTGGCCGTTCAGTCTGGGTGGCTTCACCTTAGCCTTATAACTCAGGTGGCCGTTCTTATGGAAGAGGAAGACCACCCTGGAAATGGAATGAGTGACAGCAGGCTTATGTATTTATTGTACATGTGTAGACAAATTGGGAATGTTGGGAGGTAAGTTGATCAAAAAAGTGCATGACTAAGAAAATGATTGACATCCTTGAAACGTTTTGCTAATGAGAGAATTGTCTTTGCAAAAAATACAGATTGTTTTATGTAGTACTGCAATTGCCACCTTCTTAAACAGCCTTAAGTTTAGCTAGCTACCACCTCTCCTAAGTTTAGCTCCGTATCCCAGTCTCTAGTACGTACCAGACATGAGAGTAGTTGTCCAGGCCGACCAGTGAGTGTTCAGGGTTGTTGAAGACACTCTGCTGGATCTGAAGGGTGGCCCTGGAGGGCCCACATATGGTTGGCTGTCTGGGGGTACCATTCTTCACTGAGAAACAGGAGCTGATGTAACCTATGGGGACTGTCTGGATGGTCCCTGTGAAGTAGAAATTGACACATTCGAACATTAATTAAAAGATCCATTATCTAGCTTTGTGCCCGACCCGACAGATCTCAGATAAAAATGCAAGCTATAGATCTGTCGTTCTCATTTAAAGTTATTCTCATTGGAAGCAAGTCTGATAAGCGGAAGATCCTTTCTATGTGCGATATTTCTATATTGATTCTATATTGAATAGAAGTTTTAATTAAGTGCCAGTCAGATAAAGCTAAACACAATGGTCAAGACAAGTCATGCGAGGAAGATATAAGAGAGGGATATAAGCGAGAGATCGAGTGTCATAGCTAGCTACCTTTCTCAAGTGAATTCTGTGTCTCTATGTCTGCCTGTGGCCTTAGCTGACTCTTTGGAGATCGACTCTGGCCAAGGTGTGTCAGAGCAGACTGGAGAGATGTCATGTGTTTTCGATGAGAACGAACAGCACTGTCCAACAATTGCCTGGGGGGAAAACATGCAAATACCTGTGTTGACACATTATGGTCAGCAGCATATAGTCAGTTTGTAATACGGATAACGACTTAGCTAGATGCTTTTTCCAAGAAGCCATTTGTTGCATTATGCATTCATTTCATACCTGAGATTCTTGATTTCTTTTCGCATAACAGATATCTGCTGGTGGAGTTTGTTGACATGCTCGGTACAGTTGCAAGAGGCAGACATTTTGATAGCGTCTTGATTGCTTTGCTAGTTTGTCATTGAATAGATTAAATCGATCTGAATTCATTCAATAACATCTGATAATGTTGTAAAATATCAGATTGTTTACGCTGCCTAACAAAGGTACACATGGGCAAATCTGCTGAAATGCTTCCGCACATGTGTGTGTCGTCATTTCTAGCTGGCCAACCAGCAACTTACTAATGGAAAGCGGTGACTGAATACCGTAGCAAGCAGGCGCAAATTATTATGTAAATTGTGAAGTAAAACATCAAACTCGTGTCCTGTTGGAGAGTTATGGATGAAAAGCGTATAAATAAATATTTTTTCACTACTGTAAAAGGACAGCAGAGGGCACTATTAAGCAAGTGACACTTGTTCTTGTTTTAATAATTGATCATAACAAGGATACGGTCATATTATCAACAAAGCATCACACCTTTATTATCATAGCGCTTATCTCAAATAAACAATTAGTATAAAATAAAATCACAATTAGAAAACACAGCTACCAGAAATGATTAAATACAAATGTACTTTCAAATGCTGCCATATTTAGCTTGTACAAATAATTTTGTAAATTCAGATAGTGCAGTTCTTGCAACATAACATTTCAGACACCATTCATGAAGCAAAAAATAAATAAATCCATGGGTAGGTTTAAAGCTTGAATTCATGCATTTCATTGTACAAACATTACATTTCGATATATTTCGCATCCGTACTCTATCAGGCTCAAAATTACAAAAATGAGTTAACCAACGGCATCACCTCTCAATCCAAATGCACATGTTGACAGAATAGATTACTATGCATGTAATCTGTATGTATGTTATCAGAGGCCAGATCAGCGTGGATTTCAGAAGAAGTTTCTTGGCGGATGATCTTCTGAAGGAGCGCCAGTGGAGAACCTGGGGAACGTAGAGAACACTCTATTTTGTTCAGGCACTTTGACAGACAGCTCCTCACTTGAACCTATGACAGAAAGGTGGTTAGTTTAACATTTCTGGTTATACTATATGTGACAAGATCATATCCCCACAGCTAGATAACATCACAGTGAGCTCATTGGCCAGCCACTTCAGTACATTCAGAAGTCAAGTACATGACTGCAAAGAGACATGATTTAATTGATGTCATTAGTACCTTGATCAGTGCCCTGGTTGTTTTGAGATGGAGGGATGTCTTCCTTCTCATCAGGACCCAAGTCCTCAATCAGCACCTGGTCCAGGGGGTCACTACCCTGATCACTGCCTTTTGTGTACAGTGTCTCCAACGGAGACGGTGCAGGGGCAGTAACAGGGTTATACATTGGAGAAGGGGCAACAACAAGCACAGGAGCAGGGGCAAGGATAGGGATAGGGGCTGGGACGGGGGGAACGTACGCCGGTAGTGATTCTGGTGGGCTAGGGTCCACCGGAAGGAATGGGGATAGTGAGATCAAGGTAGGGGCAGGGGTGACTTCAACTGGTTTGGACACCACCTTAACAATGACAGCCTCCTGTTCTGGCTCTTCCTGGGAAGCCGGGAGCTCCGGTGTTGGATCAGTCTTCCTCGGCCTTCCTCTTCTTCCCGAGCTACTCTTCTCCTCTCTTCCTCTCACTCTCTTCCTCCTGCTCTCCACCCTGATGTCACACAAATAGAAATGTAATCGTGGGTCGTCGTTATACACTTCCTCTCAACTGGAATGTTTACACTGTGCAGCTGACGGAGGTTGATATGCTTGGCCATATTCATTCATTCATTGTTGATAGTGCAAAGTCCTTGATTTAAATGTGTGGTGCCAATAGTTGGGAACACCTAAGCAACCTTTGGTTTCCTCTTGCTCCATATTGGATAATATGCGCTGGAAGACTGATAGGCAGCCAACTACGATCATTATAAAATATACTGTTTCATGTACACAACTTTATTCATGCATGTATAACACATCTATTACTATTTTCAGGTCTTACATTCTTTAAACATACAAAAACATAAAGTAATGTTAAGTGGCTTTTCAGCCAAACTTGTTTAAGCACGTAAGCACTAGAGTAAGCCAATAAGGTCAAAGGGCTTGGCAGCTGTACTGAAGCCCACACAGTCCACTCAAGTTTCTAGTTAAACACATTTTTGTCGGCTGAAGCACAAAATCGCAGTCATTAGCGGCTCAAATCGAGGCCTATTCCTAACTCTAACATGTTTGTTAAAGGATGAGTGTGCATGACTAGTTCTGCACCTTTTCTTAACGTCTACATTTACCCATAAACCCACTGGTTAGTCGCCTTCTCCTCGGCCTCTGCCTTTCTTTTCTTGAGAAGGTCTCTGTCTCTTAGCCGCCGCCGGATCCCACCTGTAACACCAACCAACCTACACCAGTCAGCCAGCCAGTCAGTCAGCCAGCCATCAATGACAGACAGGACACTTCACTCTCATTCATCATTTGAATTCGATACATCAATAGTCAGAGTATAAGACACATTAAAAAATATATATTTATTAACAGACAATGGTTCAATAAAAAGTGGGTTAGGAACTTTGTTTCATTCTGATTTTGTTCACTGTCCTCTCTCTACCTGATCAATCACTGGTTTATACTGTAGTAACAAAACTCTCTCCATATTTGAATGTTCCGGTGGTTTATGCTGTTGTATGATTTGTGTCAGAAATTGACTGCAAAACCAATGCAGCTATGTAGCAGCAGTTATATAAACCACCAGCAGACCAAAGTATAGGATGATTAGTACATGTTATACCATGGCATTGTTGAATACTCCTTTCTGATTGGCTTAAAGGGCATTCTAGAGCGTGCATTATTCCCCTATAACGCACAGTATATTTTCACAGTAGAATTCAATGGCTATAGTTCATTCTTACATGTTTTTGTTTGAGCTGCTTTTAAAAGAAAATGTTGAATTGAAAACAGTATTGGTATAGGATGATTAGTACATGTTAGTACATGGTGTCTGGGACTACGAACATACAGTATCAGAAACATACTTGTATGTGGACACAGACAGAGAACATCTACAGTGAAAGTGTCTTCCAAATACATGTTCCTATTGAGTTGCAATCATCTTAGTGGTGCATCTGTTTGCATAGATCAACCATCAGTAAGTCCTTTGTGACCCAGTTTGCAGCAAAATACATTGGCAGGAATATGCATGAATAGAGTCTATGTTAACAAATACAAGGACAGTATAACATACTCATACTAGGACTAAGATAGTAACCTTTTCCAGAGAACACAATGGTATATCTGAGAAATAATCGGATATTTCACTATAAAACACAGAATAGAGACAATGTTCAGAGGTCATTTACCTTGGTTATCATCGAGATTATCATCATATTCCAACTCTGGTTTCTCTTTATCCAACGTCCCCTCCATTTTGCGTCCCGTAGAAATTAATGTAACTTTTTGAGAGGGGCAAGCAAGCAGAGAGGGGTAAAAACGTTGATAAAAAATTGTGTCTGTTTGCAAGTCCCGCCCCCCAAAAAGAATTATCTGGTTAACCATTACCATAGCCCTGGAAGAGTTCTTGTGGCTCAGCTCTTATCATATTTGTAAAGGTGGAGGAGTTGGCACAATACGGGCATAAAAAAAGCAGGCCATGTTGCTGGCTGTGTGTGTGTGTGTGTGTGTGTGTGTGTGTGTGTGTGTGTGTGAGCGAGCGAGAGAGTTGTCATGGGGTTAGCTATACAGATGTGTGTGTCTGGGAATAGCTTGCAGCAGAGTATAAATAAAAGGTGCTGAGTGTGTCACTGGTGCTCAGCAGAGGGAATTACTGAATTCAGGCAATTTCTCCCTTGGTGTTATGCAATATCCAGTCAGTGATATGAGAAGGGGCACAGTAGGGTTAGACTAGAGGAAATAAAGCCCAGAGGGACTGAGGCAGTCAGTGTAGGTAGGCTAGCTAGCTGTGAGTCAACGCTGCTGGGATAGACTGGGTGGAGCTTGTTAGAAGGGTCGTTAGCCATAGACATGCACACATTCCAGAAAGCTCCACCTTTCATCATGCACACAGAACACCAGTCCTACATACATACATACATACATACAGTGCTTGACTTGGACTGAAATAGGTGCCGCTGGTACTCACTTTGGGTGACAGTACAGTTTATATTTAGGTGCAGGAGTTCCACAATACCTTTGAGCTAATATTCTATAAGAGGAACAGGAGCTCAAGCAGTAAAACATTTGAGGTGCCAGTACTCAGCTCTGGGGAGCTCCTGCCCAAGTCAAGCACTGAATACATAGTCTACATATCTTAGGCCATGACTTTTTCTCTTTCGAGAACTACAGTATGAAAAATGTATGCACTCACTAACTGTAAGTCGCTCTGGATAAGAGCATCTGCTAAAATGACTAAAATGTAAAAATGAGAAAATCATTTTGAAAATAAAGTCAAATATCCTATATACCAGATTCACTGGAACTACAGTATACATTCCTATAAGTTGGAAAGTAAACACAATGCCCTCCAACCCATTCACTGAATACTATCTAGTCTGACATAAATATAACTTTCTGGCTGTTGTATTTTCTTTCTCACAAAGGAAGAACATAGCCACAAAACCTTGACATACCGGCAGATGTTTTGCTTTTGAATCAGGCGGCAAAAGTACCCCCCCCGCCTCAGGGTCTTCTACAGTAGAGAGTGGAGGCGTAACCATCTTATCTCATCGCAAGGAAGCTGCTCATTCTCTGGGCGTGTCCGCAATCTTCTCCCTGCACATTGAAGCCTCAGCCTGCTGTCCGTGTCTGAGCCAGTGAGCCTCTCTGGGAGCCGCTGCTTCACTGAGAGCAAATAAGACTCAACTTCCTGTCAGCTTTCAGTCAGGTACAGTGCTACTGAGGGGCCCTATACTTGATTACTGATACTTAGCCTAGTTTCTGGCTTTGGAATTTTGTGCCAAATTGAATTTTTCTCAAACAATAATTTTACATCAACTTAGTAGATGACCAAGTACTTTATGTAAGCCATTGAAAATAGTAAGTAAACCATAGCCTAAACAGTTCATTCTGGGAGACTAGCAACTCCTAATGCAAGGCCACAAAGTGTACTGCCCTACAAATACTCTATTGACTACCAGATATGTGACACCTCCTCTATTTTCATCTTCAGCTTTGGAGGAAAGAATTTGACAATGACACTTATGCAGAACAATTTGCAAAGCAATAGTAGGTTACCAAAATAATAACTCAATGAGCAATAAACGAGGACACACACACATACACAAAACTACCTTGAAAAATACATATTGAGGAAAATCAGTTTGCTGGGATCCTGCTGTCAAAATCAAAGCAACTAACACACTAACTCATCAGTAGATATTATACTCAAAGGTTCACAATAAAACACCCCCTTCTGTCTCTTAAAGGGGCAATCTGCACTTGCCACATCCATTTTTGGACATATAAATTAATTATGTACACAATGATTCTTGAAGAATATAATTTATAAATGCCTCATGAGCTTAGTTCAACTGTCCTACCTCATCAGAACCCAAAAATATACGTTTTTTTTTACTCCAATGTTTGTAAACAAAGTAGCTTCAAACCATGGTTAAAACTATAATTTTGATTTCATGGCTGGTCAGTCCTTGCATCCATTTGAGAGTGGTTACATTTCTCCAGCCCCCTCCCTCAGCGTTTTACTGAAACAGGGGTAGCGAAAACGCTTTGTTATTGTTTCAACTCCTGATTGCCCCTTTAAAGGCTTGCACATATTTCTAAGCAATCGATTAGATAAGCAGATACAGTTAGAGGAAAGAAGTCACCCATACACACCCATATTGCATGATAGCCTCATGAGTTTGTGGATGCTGTACAAATAGACATTGCAGTGCCCTCTCCTGGTAAATACTTCCCATTACCGAATACCATTTTCAAAACAGAGTTGAAATGTACAGCATTGTACAGTAAGGCTTACAATGGTATGTATTTTAGAACATCGATTCTAAGATGGTTACATTCATATCCCAGATACAAAACAGCTGTTTTCATGTTTTACATATTGTGATTTAAAAGCTGTGATTTTCCAAATGTTACCCACCATATTAATTAAAATACATACCAAAATAAAAACACATGGCTATCTCAAGCATAGTAGTTGAATAGGTGCCGTTTGTCTTGAATAGGACACACATTGGTGACCTGACTAGATCATACGAAAGGCTTTTGTAGAGATGCACCTAGCGATGCAAGACTCTTTCATTGAAACATAAAAAATAAACTAAATTGGCTTGTTGATGAATATCAATTTCCACTAAGGTAATTTGTTGCTGGTTCATAATTGCCATAGGTGTAAGTGTTTCTTGTTCTGACCGAGAGAGAAGGTGCTCTTTGGTGGCAGAGGGAGGAGACACACTGGTGTGTTTTTCTGCTTCGGGGATCTTGCGTCTCTATGCAGGAAGTGTACCCCCTCACCGTGTGCATATACAATGCTCTCTTCACTGCAAACCAAATAAACGCACTCTACCTACCGGTTCTAATAAAAGGGCAAATTGAATGAGATTATTGGGCATCGTCATATTGCTCGAGATGGTGATTATTGGTAAATGAAAAGTGTACATACATTGAATAATGTTTATTGTTCATATGTACATTAGGACTACAATGTAATGTGTTTAGGTTACGTTGAAATGTACTGATAAACAAAGAATGCTATGAGATTAATTTGATGCTGCCTTGTTGTCAACAGGTATCTTCTTATATCTAAATTTCAAAATAAGGCCTTTTAATTAATCAATCAATAATACAATAATTAGGTGGTTGCTTAGATTTGTCCTGTTTCACACATGTACAAGTGTATATTATAGACGTGTGTGAAATGGAAATGTTTATTTTTGCATATCCCAACTCCATCTGAGACACCCTCGAAGAGTGGGGTCAAGGCTGGTGGGGGGGGGGGGGATTTGCTCAAACATCTCCGCAGTAGATGTTTGAATAAAGTAAATAATAGTCTTGATTTTATTTGTTTTTTTCCATTAGCAATTTTGCAATTATTTCTGATTATGTAATTCTTAAATACATTTCAAATCTTCGATTTACAGAATGTTAATTAAAAACGGGTTATTTAAAATCAAAATAATCAAATAAACACAGAAAAAAAATGGAGTTTCAATGTATAATTGTACATAATACATCACTTTTTTCACCAGAAATAAATTTCACCCCAGTTGTTTCATGGCAGCGTCATGTTTTGTGACTGCATTGACTGTTTAACGGCAGTGCGCGTTTCTGACCACAGATGGCGCTGTTGAGTATATATTTTGTTTCAGTCCCGTTTCCCTCCATGGTTTCTCCTCTCCCCGTGTAACTTGGCGTTTGGCTCAGTTCATTATACAGTCCCATATTCTCCCTCCATTAGGGCATCTCTCTGCCTTTGGACTGAATATAAATTACACCGACACCCAAGAGAGAAAAGTTCAACTTTCGTAGGGCAAGATGGACATGAAAAAGAGGATCCACTTGGAGCTAAGAAACAGGACACCATCTGATGTAAGTCGTGCCTTTAAAACCAAACCTTTAGTTTTCTGGCTAGCTTGCTACTTTTTTGCTTTCCAAGTGACCTGTGTAGCTAATGGTGACCACATGGGCTTAATGTTTCTCATTTATTAATAGAGCGGAAAATACTTAACTGTAACCAGCTACATTATACTGTCCCCGTTGGGGCGTGTAGAGGCAACAAGACAAGAAAAGCTATATTCAATCGTTACTTTCGAAAGCCGATTATTTTAGCTTTCTGGCATTATTGCAGTTTTAACCGTTTCGCAGCCTCCCAGTAGATGTTGCACACACACGGTTCGAATGCAACGTTGTCTCAATTATTTGTTAACTTATACATCTGTTGTAGGTGACATGTTTTTCCACGATGCGTTAATCATAGACGGAATGGTTTATTTTATATAGACCTTGGTAGCCATGTTTTGTTGCTAGCATAAAGCTAAAGTGGGGTGCCCTTTATTACAATACACTTTTAAATCCACACCAATAATCCAAAATTGAGTTTACAGCATGCTCCTACTTTTGTGATATCATTAATGAGATCACGGGTGGATTCTTTTCGACATTTTCCCCTGATTGGGTAGGGACCCAGATTAGCTAGCTAGCAAACAAAATTAGTCACTAGTTCTCACGAGTCATCCACATCTTGTAGGCTACAACAACTACTATACCGCCTTTTCGCTAACAATAATGTAACGTTTTTATATTACTAATTTACTAACAATCAACTGAAGTTGTTGAAGGGGAATAGCCAGCTACTATGTCGGATGATCTACTCGCCTAGCTTCACATCCCGTCAAATGTTACATTATTCGATTTGAGATTCATAAACTAAATTTAATTTCCCGCAAATTGAAGCTGATTGTTACAATGTTTCTAATTCGAATCATTCAAGCAGCGTTCAGCGAATGTTTGGTTCCCGCCATATTATTCCCGCAACTACCACGAAAGAAAACGAAATACCTATTGAATCTGGCTAACCTCCACGTTCAGATTCGGTATTTTGTATATCATGTTAATAATTTGTCATTTAATGCTTAGGCTACTGACAATCTCCGAATAACGTGTTGGTCGCCGGCTCGTACAATAGCCTGCCTGAATGACACGAGACCGAGGAAACTGCGTTCGGTGCGTGGGTTGCTAAAACTCGACGTTGACGCTCACTGGTTTTCATGCAAACATTGATAATAAAAGTATTCTACATTGGAAGTTAATTTTAAGGGATATTTTTACGTAATTACTGCTTGTAAACAGCCATCCCTCTTCGGAGAGTTTAGAGAACTCTGCATACTGTATCTCAGGAATCGCCATGTTGTCATTCTGCCGTCTTTGAAGCTCAGGCGAAATGAACTCCATCTTTGTTTGACTAATTTCCGTTCTGAATATTTCCTTCGACGTTGTTTACGAAACGCTGATATAATGTAACAAACTGGCCTATCGGTCGTTCGCTCGACGGCAAGGCAATCCATTTCCCCAATAAATTCGATTTGAAAATAAAAAGTGTATCTTTACAGAGTATATTCGCAATCCTTTCCATTGCTGTAGGGTAGGTAATGGCGGTCAGTCAGGCTTCTCTTGCAGGTACTCAACTGCACGGCAGCGCTTAAAAGGGCAATGGCTAGCCTGTAGCGAGCTTGCTAACAAAAAGCATTGCATGTATCTTTAGTGACTGCATCAGCGGGCCAAGTGAAGGTAGAACTGTATTGTGTGGTTCTTCCTCGTGGCAGCTGGTTCAAAGAAACAACCGCGGTGCTTCGACATAAAACATCATGCAACCAAATACCTTTATTGATGGCTCGACTCGACAGCTTTATCAATGTTTAATTTTGCCAGTGTTCAAATCATGATCTTTTGACGGTCAACATTAACTTTCTTCGAGTTTTTGGTTGTGTAACGACTGTCCCTGACTATTACAAGTGAACTCTTTAAACGATGAAATGTAACATTTTGTAGGAAGGAACTGAGAAGTTGCAAGTATTCATACTAAAGTCAGGAATAACGTGAGTGGAATAACAACCACTCCTATCATTGAGGTCCATATTTTGTATATTGACCTTTTTTCATCATGAAGTTCATATTCAAGCTTAGTTTTTTATTTGATTCCTTAACAAAGTATTGATATTGATTACTGTTGCCAACATATGTGGCCATTCTAAACAGGTTTCCCACACCATTTTTTGCATATGCGTAAAATAAAGCTTTTATAACATGGGTGTATTCTCAATGTTTAGTGTTTGTAGTGCATCTGTAAACAATGCATGCATGTTCTTTGATTTACATAGATGACAATTTTACACATTTTATCTTTTTTATTCGTATAGGTACGAGAACTTGTCCTGGACAACTGCAGATCAAATGAAGGGAAAATCGAAGGCCTCACAGCAGAATTCATCAATCTGGAATTCCTCAGTTTGATAAACGTTGGCTTAATCTCAGTCTCCAACCTTCCCAAACTTGGGAAACTCAAAAAGGTAAAGTTTGACTTTATGATAATAATACTTTTTTACACAAGCTTACTTAAATTTACAGTAAAAAAAACAATGTTTTAAGACATTTGTGTTGACTCTTAAAAAAAAAAAACGTCAATTCTTGCTGGGGGGGGGTGGGTATAGAAAGAGACATTCGTTGGTCCCTAATGGCACCCTATTCTCTATATAGTGCACTACCTTTGAGAGCCCTAGTCTAAAGTATTTTTTTGACACAAGCTTACACTTACATTTACAGTAATAAAATGTAGACATTTGTGTTGTTGGGGGGTAGAAAAAGCCATTGACTACGTCCCTAATGGCACTCATATAGTGCACTACCTTTGAGAGCCCTGGTCTAAAGTAGTGCACTATGTAATGTAAGGAATAGGGTTCCATTTGGGACATAATCATTGTTTTCTGAAAGACTGTTACTTGCTTGGGAGTTTTTTAGACAGAAGTGACTGATATATCTTCACATTATGTTGCAGTTGGAACTCAGTGACAACAGAATCTCTGGTGGCCTTGACGTGCTAGCAGAGAAACTCCCCAACCTCACACATCTAAATCTAAGCGGGAACAAACTGAAAGACATCAGCACGTTGGAACCTTTGGTAGGTACACCAAACTCCCGGTAGAGCACAATACAGTGTGACACCATCTCATTGTCTCAGGCTATGCCTCAAATGACACTATTCCCCATATAGAGTTCTGACCACAGACTTATTTGGCAATCGGATTTGTTTCAGACTTATTTCTGGTTTTGTTTCCCAATGTGGCTCTAGTCAAAATTAGTTTGCTAGCCTATATGGGGGAAACGGTGTGCTCTAAAATCTAATTAGAGATTTATTCAGGCAGTGTTCTTCACCCCCTAATTAACCTACACACATTTGGTCCCACAGAAAAAGCTGGACAGCCTGAAGTCTCTGGACCTATTCAACTGTGAGGTGACCAACCTGAACGACTACAGGGAGAGTGTGTTCAAGCTGCTCCCTCAACTCACCTACCTGGATGGGTACGACATGGAGGACCATGAGGCATCCGACTCGGACGGAGAGGTGGACGGTGTGGACGATGACGACGATGAGGGTGGGCAGCCATTTTGTTTTTTTGTGTTTTGATGGAGTATGAGGAAATACAGATGTGAGTTGAGAATGGGGGTCTTCGATTCCCGGGACAACCCATACATACAATGTATGCTCGCTTGACTAAGGCGCTTTGAATAAAAGTGTCTGCTAAATGGCATTATTATATATTAGAATCCATATTAATACATTGTGGGTGTTTTGTCATGCAAGTGAATTCTATTGTGTATTTGTAGGTTTTGTCGGCATGTATCTGTGTGATGACTGACAATGGATGTGATGTATTTGTTTTTTTAGAAGGAGAGGAGGATGAGGAGGGAGAGGAGGAAGACTTTGACGAGGAGGATGACGATGACGAAGAGGAGGGAGTAGAAGCAGAGGAGGAGGATGAGGTCAGCGGCGATGAAGAGGTAAAGCCCTTTTTGGTTTGTTTGTGACTCAATAGTTTAAAAGATCAACCGTGGGGATATGGTTTGAGAGCTCTGTGGATTCTGACCTGCTCTGTCCCTTCTCTCCAGGAGGAAGACCTTGGCATTGATGGTGAAGTTGAAGATGAGGATGATGATGATGACGACGATGAAGAGGGTATGTCATTCTCATACTTTTTGTCACAAGCTCATGTCCAAACCTCATGTTAAAAAGTTTCACTTGACTAAGTATAGTGTAATAACCCTTTCCCATTTCCTCCAGAAGTTGAGGCTGTCAAAGGCGAGAAGAGAAAGCGAGAACCTGACGATGAAGATGACGACGATGATGATGACGAGGACGACGATTAAGAGCAAAAAACAAGAGCCTATCAAGTTACCAACCCTTTCCCTCTCCGCCCTTACACCCTGCCTACTCCACGTCTCTCCCCCAGCTTTGAGCCCCCGTGTGGGGAAAGACTGTACCGGACGGGTGGTCCGAGTGGAGCTGCCTGTGCCCCATGGAACCGAGAGCCATTCCCAAGGTTCTCAAGCAGCGCACCACTCCGCATTCCACAATTTCACTGTCAACTCCCTCTTTATGTATACCTGTGTGAGGACTTTGGGACTGGTATCTAGTTTTGGGTCTGTGCTTTTAATATTTTGTTGGATGAACTCTGAATTTATATTTTTTGTTGTTGGGTTTATTATTTCTTCCCCCTCTTCTTTTTGTCTTTGTTTTATTTTCCGTTCCTTATTCCCCCCCCCCCCCCCCCCCCAATAAAATTATTGCTATAGCAACTGTGTGATGAGCGAGCTATGATTTTGTGGCCGCCTGTTGCACAAATCAAGGTTGTAGCTACATTTTTACTTTCTGTATGACAAAACTACTTTGTAAATAAAATGTAAAATTTTGCGCGTTGCTCTCCTCCTGCCATCCTTTTCTCTAGTCACATCTAAAGTTGATGACTTGAATGTATCTGATGGGTTAAGTGCAAGTTGTCTGTATCACCCCCTGCTGAGTGCAATAGGTTGCCTCAGTGGGAAAAGTATAACACTCATCGATCACATAGAATATTCATTCGCCAAAGGCCTCAGAATGGATACTTCAAAGTCACTCTACAAGATGACATGTTGCACCTCATCATTTTATTATTTTGAATGGGAGGGAAGGGGAAAAATACAGAAATAGGAAGACATTAAATCCTCTTTAACCCCAGAGCTGCCATGTGTTGGCACTTCTCTTTGTATGTTTGACTTCGAGAGTTGCGGAAGAGGTTATTGGTTAAATTCTAATTTATTTTGCTTTTGACTACTCCTCGTAGAGATCGAGGACTCTAGTGCCCAAAAGCCTGTTTTAGCATGGGCAGCACCACTGAGGACTTTCACCATTTTGAAGTAGTCAACTGGGTGGGACTTCCTATGGCTTAAGGATGGATCACATAATTCCATCCAGGTCGCCAGGAGGAATCAGCCATTGAATTATACTTGTGAGCAAACGTTCCATAACTGCAAATGGTAGTAAATCGCCAACCTTGGCTTTATACCTGTTCAAACACACTCCAAGGTGGCAGTTTTCCCCCTTTTCAGTTTGTGCCAACTCATAGAAGTAGAAGAAAATGGACTACTTTAAATGGAGATGGCCTCAATGGCGCTGCCAGTGTTCTCACAGAAGCCATAATGGGGCAGATACAATGTTGCGACATTAAGTCGATGGTGCTTCTACAACTGTCAAATGTCAAAGCACCAAAGAGTGGGTTGAGTGTGAAGGGTTTATGTCCTTGCCTTGCATTGGAGAGGTACTGGCCTTTTCTCAATTGGATTTGCTCAACTCCTGCATCCTCTCATTTCTCTCTGGCCTCCTTTTGAAAAAGGTCTAAAGGTAATCGAGGAGAAGTGAGGGAAAGTGGACGAAAATGCGCTTGTATGTAATGAGACTCCTCCAATCGCGCGTCTTCAGGCAAATTATGTTTACAGGGTTGAATCCCCAAATAAATGTATAAAGTGATCTAAACAAATGTTGCTAGTTGTGCAATACATTTTATAGATCAAAGGATAAGTAGCATATCATTAAAAAATGTTTGCATGCTTTTATACTTCCAAGAAAACGATAGCTGATTGTGGCAGATGTCAAAGGGGGTATGGCAGATACACTTGTTCTTCTTCGCCAAAAGGAGGCTATCGAGGAGGGGAGGACCTTCTTGTGTTTGCCTACTAACGAATAGACACTCTTCGACCACTTATCGGTTTCCTGGTCACGGAGGAGAATGGGCCGGCAGAGGACAGACTTTTTCCAAATGAGAAAAGGCCAATGTGTTCAACTCTTACCTCTTGCACTTCATGTGTTCCCACAATTCTCGATATGAACTATGCAGAGAAGTGTCTAAGTAGTCAAGGAGGCAGTGGTTCTGGGGTTTAATCCCTGCCTTGCATCCATATGGTTGTGGGTTCAAATCTTACCTCTTGTGCTTTGTGTATGCTTCCACAGTTCTCAATGTCAAATATACAAAGAGAAGTGTGAAGGAGTCTGTAGTTAATTTGATCTTGGGTTTTCGACAATATGGCTTTTAAAGGCGGAGATCGCATTCACAGTAAACACTGCACATGTCGACTCAATCGGAAACCGCGAGCAGATTCATGCTGCGTTCAAAACAAAGTGGGAAGGTGGAAAAAATCCACTTGAACGCCTCTCCAAATCGTAATTACTAAAGGGAAACTCATCTCTGAGCTCAGACTTCTCCCACGTGCTGACCTCTGACATTACCTACTAAGGAAATGACCTCAATAACAGCATTTTCGGCAGTTAAATGTTACAAAACATAATTTATAAAAAGCAATCTATTAATATGGTTTTTGAACACTATAATTAGTTTACAAACGTAGCTCAGCTGGTAGAGCACGGCGCTTGTAACGCTAAGGTAGTGGGTTCGATCCCCGGGACCACCCATACACACAAAAAAAATGTATGCACGCATGACTGTAAGTCGCTTTGGATAAAAGCGTCTGCTATTATTATTATTATTACTTTCGGTTTATGCTTGACAACAAATGTGTAATAAATGTGAAGAAGTTGGTGGCTGTGCAGTTGAGTACTTGCCTTATGGTGTCTGTGACAGCATGGGCAGCGCCATTGAGGCTATCTCCATTATAAAGTAGTACATTTTCTTATTCTTCATTGGCTGATTGCTCCCAACTCATAGGAATCCCCACCCAGTTGACTACTTTAAAATGGTGGAAGTCCTCAATGGCAATGTCCATGTTAAAACAGGTGTTATTTGTAACCCGGAGTTAATCCCTGTTGCTGCCTTAGCCAATCAGAGGAATAGTAGGGGAAATGAACAAATGACAATAGCCGGGGGGCAGAGAGATTTGTATAGTGAGTACCATATGTCAAAGTAGTTTAGGGTGATACCGACCCTAGATACCAGGAAATACTAGGGTTTCCTCTGAGTCTCGTGAAGAAACGTCATCTGACTAACTAGCAAAGCTATCACTCTGTTTCCCACCACTGCACTGAATACGGACTTCTCTCGCCTGCATTGGGACTCCCGCTCCAGAAGCCACACACACACAAACACACACAAACACGAAGTACAGGCATGCAACGTAGTAAGAGTTTTTACATTACAGAGCTCTGGTAGTTAAGGGGTACCCGGTTATTTAAAGGTTGCAACCGTTTACTGACTGTTATTAAATGTGTATGTTTTTACAGGTATGGTGAATGACAATATGTTTTTAAGTCTATTGATTTACTTGGTGCCATATTGATTGTTTTATGTTTTTAAGTCTATGAAATAATTGACTTGGTGCCATACTGATTGGTTTATGTTTACCCACTATTGAATATCTTATGCGATTTATGAATATGTCTATTTATTGAGAGAGATGTTGCTTTTCCATACTTAATATAATTCCTCAAAAGAGACATTTTACTGTGTGCATTTTGTTTGTAGTGTGTCTGATAATGGGTCAGGTTATACTAAGGGTATTTGAATAGGGAATGAGAACACACCTGGGGTTATTTTAGTTAGGCCCCAGACCACTATCAACCAGACTTCACCTTGGTTAGGAAAAGGGGCGTACATATCCATATGTAACACTACCCAGGAATGGGCTGAAAATAGCCCATACTAATATATGTAGCCTTAGAAATAAGGTTCATGAAATCAATAACTTGCAAACATCAGATAACATTAATTTATTAGCCATTTCTGAGACTCACTTAGATAATTAATTTGATGATACAACAGTAGCAATACAAGGATATAACATCAATAGAAGAGACAGGAATGCTTATGGGGGAGGTGTTGCTGGAGATATTGAGAGCCATATCCCAGTAATGCTTAGAGAATATCTTATGTCAAGTGTTATTGAAGTGTTGTGGTTGCAGGTTCACCTGGCACATCTAAAGTATTTTCTTTTGGGGTGTTGCTATAGGCCACCAAGTGCTAACAGTCAGTATCTAAATAATATGTGTGAAATGCTTGATAGTGTATGTGATGTAAAGAGAGAGGTCTACTTTCTTGGGGACCTAAATATTGACAGGTTTTCATCAAGCTGTCCATTCAAGAGGAATCTTCTCACTGTAACCAGTGCCTGTAATCTGGTTCAGGTTGTTAATCAACCTACCACAGTGTTTACATATACTACAGGAACAAGATCATCCATATGTATTGATCACATGTTTACTAATACTTTAGAACTTTGTTCTAAAGCTGTATCCGTACCCACTGGATGCAGTGATCACAATATAGTGGCTATATCCAAGAAAGCCAAAGTTCCAAAATCTGGGCCTAAAATAGTGTATAACGTTCACGTTTACGTCATTTAGCAGACACTCTTATCCAGACCGACTTACAAATAGTATAAGAGATCATACAAAAGATTTTGCTGTAACTCTTATGTGGATGAAATATTTGTTGGTCTGATGTGATTAATAAGGAGCATCCAGACACTGCACTTGATGAATTTATGAAAGTGCTTCTTCCAATTATTGATAAACATGCACCTGTTAAGAAACGGACTGTTAGATCTGTTAAGGCTCCATGGATTGATGAGGAATTGGAAAACTGTATGGTTGAAAGAGATTGGGCAAAAGGAATGGCTAATAAGTCTGACTGGCTGACTTACTGCAAATTGAGAAATGATGTGACTAAACTCAACAAAAGGAGAAGAAACTGTATTATGAATCCAAGATCAATGATAACTTATTGTGTTAATTGTTTAGGGCACTTCAGACCTCTCAAGTATTCTTTTATCTGTCGTGGGACATTTGTCTTCCACTGTTGGTACTCTTGAATCAACTGTGTAGCATTGCTAATTGGAGCAACAAGATCACTTTTATACCATACAGTCAAACACTATAATTTGGTGTGTTTTTCTGTTTTTACCACTTTTGTGAAATTTGGTACTTATTCCTTAATTAGTTTTTTAGTTCCACATACTAGCCTATTCATTTTGCAGCACAGTACAATATCCAGCCAAAGGGAAGTTCAATTTACAGTAGCACTTTTTAATAACTCCATGTAATAAAGCATTTATAATGGATTAGTAAATAGTTTATTAATTGATTAATTATTACTCCGTTCATAAGATGTTTAATGTAGGTCCTTATAAACCAACATTTTTGTGTGACCTCATCTAAAGTTGGGGATATTTATACTTTATAAATACAGTTTTACTTGCAAATATGTTCTAGGATATTTTGAGACCTTAAGGAGCATCAGGTACTGCTAGAATGTCTACCAATGGCATGTCCATCTTTTTGTGAGAAATTACACTGGTCACTCAACATTTATAAAGTTTTTATAAATAGCCCACACTTTAGATGAGGCCACACAAAAATAGTAAACTAATAATTAGAAAATTGTTATAAGGAACTATACTGTACAAAATATAAACGCAACAATTTCAACGATTTTACAGAGTTACAGTTCATATAAAGGAATCAGTCAATTGAAATCAATTAATTAGGCCCTAATCTATGGATTTCACATGACTGGGCAGGGGTGCAGCCATGGTTGGGCCTGGGGGGGCATAGGCCCACCCACTGGGGAGCCAGGCCTAGCCAATCAGAATTGGTTTTTCCCCACAAAAGGGCTTTATTACAGACAGAAATAGTCCTCAGTTTCATCAGTTGTCTGGGTGGCTGGTCTCAGACGATCCACGAAGGTAAAGAAGCCGGATGTGGAGGTCCTGGGCTGGTGTTGTTACACGAGGTCTGCAGTTGTGAGGCCGGGAGGACGTACAGCCAAATTCTCCAAAATGGCTGAGGCGGCTTATGGTAGAGAAATTAACATTCAATTATCTGGCAACGGCTTTGGTGGACATTCCTGCTGTCAGGAAGTCTATTAGCTGTGCCACTAGAGATCCTGGTTCGAATCCAGGCTCTGTTGTAGCCGGCCGAGACCGGGAGACCCATGGGGCGGTGCACAATTTGGCCCAGCGTCGTCCAGGGTAGGGGAGGGAATGGCCGGCAGGGATGTAGCTCAGTTGGGAGAGCATGGTGTTTGCAACGCCAGGTTTGTGGGTTCGATTCCCACGGGGGGCCAGTATGAAAAATACAAAAATAATGTATGCACTCACTAACTGTAAGTCGCTCTGGATAAGAGCGTCTGCTAAATGACTAAAATGTAAATGTAAATGATATAAAGAATGATGGAAAAAAAACTTTGGAGTACTCTCAATGAAATTATGGGCAGAAAGACAAATTCATCTTCATCTTTCATCAAATCAGATGGCTTATTCATCACAAAACCATTTGATGTTGACAATTATTTTTTTATGATTACTTAATTGGGAAAGTGGGCAAACTTAGGCAGGAAATGCCAACAATGAACAATGAGCCATCATACTCATGCATAAAAAAACAAATAATAAATGAAAAGCTTTGCAAGTTAAAATGTTGTAAAGTTAGAGAGGTGAAAAAATTATTGTTATCGATCAATAATGACAAATCTCCTGGCATTGACAACTCAGATGGAAAACTACTGAGGATGGTAGCTGACTCTATAGCCACTCCCATCTGTCATATCTTTAATCTTAGCCTAGAGGAAATTCTTTGTCCTCAGGCCTTGAGGGAAGCCAAAGTCATTCCGCTACCCAAGAGTGGTAAAGCGGCCTTTACTGGTTCTAACAGCAAACCTAAAAGCTTGCTGCCAGCTCTTAGCAAACTGTTGGAAAAGAATTGTGTTTGACCAAATACGTACTGAACTGACACAAATGACTGATGATTACTTGAATGAAATTGATAATAAGAAGATTGTGGGAGCTGTACTGTTAGATTTCAGTGCAGCCTTTGATATTATTGACCATAACCTGTTGTTGAGAAAACTTATATGTTATGACTTTTCAACCTCTGCCATATCGTGGATTCAGGGCCATCTATCTAATTGAACTCAGAGGGTTTTCTTTAATGGAAGCGTCTCTAATGTCAAACATGTAAAGTGTGGTGTACCTTAGGGCAGCTCTCTAGGCCCTCTACTCTTTTCTATTTTTACCAATGACCTGCCACTGGCATTAAACAAAGCCTGTGTGTCCATGTATACTGATGATCAACCATATTCGCATCAGCAACCACAGCTAATGAAGTCACTGCAACCCTTAACAAAGAGTTGCAGTCTGTTTTGGAATGGGTGGCCACTAATAAACTGGTCCTGAACATCTCTAAATCTAAGAGCATTGTATTTGATACAAATCATTCCCTAAGTTGTAGACCTCAGGTGAATCTGGTAATGAATGGTTCGGCTGTTGAACAAGTTGATGAGACTAAATTACTTGGTGTTACCTTATATTGGAAACTGTCATGGTCAAAACATATAGATTCAATGGTTGTAAAGATGGGGAGAGGTCTGTCCGTAATAAAGAGATGCTCTGCTTTTTTGACAACACACAAAGCAAGTCCTGCAGGCACTAGTTTTATCTTATCTAGATTATTGTCCAGTCATATGGTCAAGTGCTGCAAAGAAAGACCTAGTTAAACTGCAGCTGGCCTAGAACAGAGCAGCACATCTTGCTCTTCATTGTGATCAGAGGGCTGATATTAATACTATGCATGCCAGTCTCTCTTGGCTAAGAGTTGAGGAAAGACAGACTGTGTCACTTCTTCTTTTTATAAGAAACAATGTGTTGGAAATTCCAAATGGTTTGCATAGTCAACTTACACACAGCACTGACACACACACACTTACCCCACCAGACATGCCACCAGGGGTCTTTTCACAGTCCCCAGGTCCAGAATAAATTCAAGGAAACGTACAGTATTATACAGAGCCATGAGTGCATGAAACTCCCTTCCATCTTATATAGAGCAAGTGAACAGCAAACCTGGTTTAAAAAACAAATAAAGCAACACCTCATGGCACAACGCCTCTCCCCCATGTGACCTACTTGTTGTGTGTATGTACTGACATGTATGTGTAACTGATTGATGCACACCCACACCCACTACATGTTAATGTTTTTAAATGTATGTAAATTGTAAAGTATTTTGTCTGTAATGTATTTTTTGTTATGTGCCGGACCCCATTAAGACTAGCTGTCGCCATTGGCGTTGGCTAATGGGGATCCTAATAAATCAATTCAAACAATGAGTCCTCTATCTATCTCTATGGTTTGACCCCACAACTTCCTGGATGCAAGGCCCTCCCCTTCCTCATCAAAGATGATGGATTAACTGACAAGATACTTGTCTCTCCGCCCTAACAATGGGAGTCTTTGTCTACAAAGCGGCACGGCGGGCTGTTTAGCTCCCGCCTATCCTTTCTTTGGATTGGTGGATACATCTCATTATGTTGACGTCAACCGCCTGTATTCAATGGAGAGATGCTATGCTACTAGCCTCATGCCATGAATATGCATAGCCATCTCAAGACAACTCTGATATAAATAGTTTTTTCTCAAAGTTGCCGGGATGTCACGTGTCCTACTTATATCAGTACACTCATAACCACCTAAGCATTACGAAACTTCTGTTAGATCAAATAAACCTCACATAGCAAATAAGCCATTCATTGTTGTATTGACCAAATTCGACACTCTCTCATTGACCTCTATACAAAAACTCCTTGCTTGGTGGGCTAAACAATGAAAAAACGGCACCTGCTGGAGAGTCAGTTTTTCCGCTGTTGGACCTCCCTCTTCGTCATAATGCACTTGCACCATAGAGATAGATGGAGGACTAGTGCACAAAAGCCATTTTAGCATGGGCAGCACCACTGAGGACTTTCACCGTTTTTAAGTAGTCAACTTAAACTTAACTTGGACTTCCTATGGGTATCGAAATGCTTGAAAAAAGACATGAATTTTCCAAAGTAATGTTTTCACCTCTTTTTTATTCTCTACACCTGATGTATTTCTTGACATATTTAAAAACAATATTAAACATAACAGGAACAACATTAGAATAATTTCATAAATTGTTCACTGTATTTGTGAGTTGTGTGTAGACACTAATATTAATTTTCTTTCTGAAAGACATCACAATACCAATAAAAACAACTAAAATTGCAGCTTGATTCATAGGCACAGTAAGGCTCAGTCATGATATTGCCCAGCAGAAACCCTAAATTTTCAACTTACTTATACAGGTCATTGTTTCCAATGAGCAAAATAATGCTAGTGATCGTAGTTTATATTCCCCTCAAACTACTGCTCTTTCTACTGCTAAAATATTGCTTCTGTAAAAATGTAAAATGGGACACACACACAGTTTAGGGATTTAAAATCCCTTAAATGGACTTTGTGATTTGGTCTTGACCGTATCTTTTCTGAAGAAAAAATAGGATACAGTAGCTGGTGAAGTCTACAATGCTTAAAGAGGCCTAAGTCCACGCAGCACCAAAGTAGTAGTACAAGGATGTGATGGCCAGATATCTGGCCATTGTAGTTGGCAGTAAATGCAAAAGGTCTACAAAACACCCAGAGACCCATTGCTAAAGTACACATGCCAAGCTAGCTGGACAAGATAGACTACATGGACTCTACAATGACCATCAGGATTACAATAACAGTCGGTTTTCGGATTGTTTCTGAGATTGTCTTCCCTAAGGTGTCATTAGCCAAGTAGTGACTCCATTCAGTCAAGTCCCATTTAGAAATATTACCCTTCAATGGCAATACTCGGACTGAGCTACATTGGCCTACATACAATAGCATATATGAGCTGAACAATATGGCTAAAACCAAACACATTGCAGGTGCCCTGGCCCACTTAGTGCAATATTAAACCCTTGAATGAGTAGATGTGTCCAAACTTTTGACTGGTACAGTATGCAGTTACATGTTAATGTATTATTCATAAATAATAGCGGTGACAATGGTTAGTTTGACTTCATGCTGTTCTTTGACCAGTCAAAAGTAGTGCTGTCTATAGGAATAGGGGATGTCTTCTCTAGATGCCTGCTCACAAGTGTTGAATAGCTCACAGATGCCGCTCACAGTGATCTTTTAGCACATGTGTGTCGTGCTTGATGTTTGCCATTGGTCTTGTGTAAATTGTCGTTATATTCAAATACAGTTAAACGTTGGGCTCTTGCTTTTCTTTGGACAGGGGGTCTCTGATTGTCTAACTCTAACATATTATGATGCACAATTACAGAGTAGTTCCAATCCCATTCCTTGGCATAGTATTTTTCCATTTTAACTATTGTGAACCACCAAGTAAGTACTTGTGCAGCAGAGGAGGCTGGTAGTAGGAGCTATAGGAGGATGGGCTCATTGTAATGGCTGGAATGTAATATATGGAATGATATCAAACACATAAAACATATGGAAACCACATGTTTGACTCTGTTACATTCATTCCATTCCAGCTATTACAATGAGAATGTCCTCCTATAGATCCTCCTACCAGCCTCCTCTCTTGTGCAGCACAAAAACAATGGACATCATATCAAAAACAAAGACTTAGTGTTATCCTGAAAGTTCTAAATTAGCCTGCTCCAAACACATATATTGCCTTTCACTGTTTCCTTTGTTGTTTTCAAGCAACAACCCAATCACTTGGGTAAGCACATACAAATGAACAACATTGGCAGCATATTTATTAAGTTCCCTGTTATGTCATATATTACACAATGGCTTTTTGAGGGTCATTCAAACCCTTTTTTTTTTTAAATCATTCCTACTTTTACACAGTGGCTTCGGAACAATGAAAACGGATGGACCAGCACCAAACAGACAGTGAAACAGTACAACTTTGTGTGCCTTACCAACCCACTTCCTACATGATGTGGTGTGTGTGTGTTCTCTGATAGCGTTGGACATAGTAAGTGGGGCGCCTGATGCAGAGAGCTGTGGCCACTGGTGTGAAAACATGCCTCTGTAATTGGTCATCATCCCATACATACGGCTACTTTTTCTTGTCCACAAATCAAAAACAAACAGAAAAATAAATGCAATTTTAAAACGACAAGTGAGATTCCCTTGGCTGCTTTCGGGTAAAATAATAATAATAATGGCGTATTTAAAAGCTGCTGGGCAACGATTGTTCTTTCAGTTGATTGATCTTTCACCAGTTTACCAGTCATTAAAACGCAGCTTCATTAAAGGTAGACTCAGCGGAATGACGTTGCCACGAGCAGCACCGCAGATATTGAGATGAGCGAGATGCAAGACTTCGCTCTCACACAGTATACAGTGTATGTGCACGGGTTCGCTGCATGGGTTCGCTTCACACTGTTAACACCGTGGTAGCGGGACCAAATAAGCAGAGTAGTTTAGCTTCACGCTTCAACGCCCTTAGCTGAGTCTACCTTTAAATGCAAAAGACCTTAATGTCGCACCCCCCCCCCCCCATTTACTCAGTATATACAAAATTAAGCAAGTCTCTTTCCCTCTCACATATTTTCTGTCATTCTAGACATCTCCACCAGCATCCATCCATCCACGTACAGTAGTTTAAATATGCAAAATCACAAAGCGTAGAAAATAAATTCAGTGTATCTTACAATCATGTGTGACATCTGCTCCCATCCAGACAACATTCAAATAACCAGCAGACAACCACACCATACTGTTAAGACAGGCACGTACATCTTTTTATCATAATTTTTCTAATAAAAAGGGCATAAAGATTTTGTTTATGACAAAAACAAAACAAAAATACATCCAACTTGCATAGCTCTGAAGTGTACAAAAGGAAAAACTAAAACAGACTTTGGGGAGGGGAGCGGGGAGAGGGACACAGGGTGCACATGTATAGTGATGTGGTAGCATTAAAATATGTTACATATTGAGAAGTGACAGAGTCTATGGGTGTATGTACATATATGGGGGACATGTGCGCCAAGGGAAGCCTTGGTGAGGCTTTGACCCATCCACAGAGACAGGTAGTGTTCTGAGATGAGACAGAGACAGGCTTTGTCTTTAGGGTAAGGAAGGTGGGGTCGAAGGGGGTAGAGGGGTGTTCATTGCAGTGAGACCCCCGGGATGAGAGAGCGGGGGAGGGGGGTGGTCAGAGAGTAGCCCAGGAGAGGTGAGGGTGGCTTGGTACGGCGGGGGGCAAGGGGAGCCTCTTCTCAGTGCGAGCCCTGGGAATTCCTCACGTTGTTGATCTCCAGCTCCAGCTGCTTGATGCGTACGTCCCTCTGGTTGAGCATCTCCCGCAGACGCCGGATCTCCTCCTGCTGCTTGTGGAACTTCAGACGCAGCTGCGCACACACACACACACACACACACACACACACACACACACACACACACACACACACACACACACACACACACACAGACAGAACACACATTGAGAAAAAATGTGGGTGAGTGCAAGACTAGGGCCAGGATCTTTTCTGACCCTATATAGTCACCTAAAAAACTCCTACCCTACCCTACCCTACAATAAACATTCCCCGACCCAGAGTAGAATGGTATACAGCCAGGCTGGGTAACTCACATCGAAACCGCCCCATACCTCGTTCTCTGTTTTGGGAGGTGAGCAGAGCGTGGGGTCCTGTCCGTTGCTGACAGAGGTCTTACTCTTGCCCTCCTTGCCCTCCTTGTTGCCCAGCTGGTCCTGGATGTATGCCAGCTGCAGTTGGCCTGGCCGGCTCTGGGACCTCCGGGTGCCCAGGGAGTTGTCCAGCCCCTTGCTGCCCAGGCCAGAGCTCAGCTCTGGGTAGGAGTCTGGTACTCGACTCCCAGGCTTCAGGGACTGGAGCACCGGGCCTAGTGGAGGTGGAAGGTGAGCGAGCAAACATTATGTAATGATTACGTTCTTACTGTCTCACATATGGTTGGTTGATGATAACACAACACAATGCTATCGTTGTCGAGATTTCTTTGAAGGTCAACATATATACACTACCAGTCAAAAGTTTGGACACACCTACTCATTCAAGTTGTTTTTTAAAAATATTTTATATTTGAGATTCTTCAAATAGCCACCCTTTGCCTTGATGACAGCTTTGCACACTCTTGGCATTCTCTCAACCAGCATCATGAGGTAGTCACCTGGAATGCATTTCAATTAACAGGTGTGCCTCCTTAAAAGTTAATTTGTGGAATTTATTTCCTTCTTAATGCGTTTTGATGTCTTCATTATTATTCTACAATGTAGAAAATAGTAAAAATAAAGAAAAACCCTTGAATGAAGGTGTGTCCAAACTTTTGACTGGTACTGTATATATTATTTAACAGCAGAAATGTTGAATTATGAACACAATTTATAACCAAATTCAGGTTCAAAGACATGATAGAGGACAATATAATATAAACTTTGTAGGGTCTTCTTTGCACAGGACATTGCAGGGTAGATAGATATCGTACGAATGATGCATAATGGACAACTTCCTGGCCATTCACATGACAAATGAGAATGTCACATCTTGTAGAGGAGCAAATAGGATGCAGCTGAGGCGTCTAGGCAGACCTGGGTTCAAACACTATTTGAAATACTTCAACTGGGCTCGATTGAGTTTGCCTGACGCAATGGAACCAATAGAATAGTATCAAAACCGCAAACCCGGCCCATCTGGTACTCCTGGCAGGCTAAAGCAAAACGCTCAAAATATTTGAAAGATTTCAAATACTATTTGAACCCAGGTCTGCAACTACTGTAGGTAAACAGATTTCATGGTCAGCTAAAGGGAGGAGCAAATGGAATACATGTTATCTCAAATGGAGAACTAATATCCAGCATTAGGCTCTATTAGGACCTTAGATGGAGAGACAGCATTGTAACCTTGCTGTAAATTAAAGCGCCTGCATGTCTGATGGCTGACCCCTTATACTGATAATCCTTATTCTGATCATATTGAAATACACTATACACTTTTCGATACATCATGTATAAATATCCCTTGAATAAACGTATACTACTGATAATGTACAAATCCCTTTTAAATACAGTTCTGCATTTCCTCAGCATAGCCAGCTACTCGTGCTTTTGTATTGCAGTTTCCTCATTGCATAATTCAAGTTATTAAACTATGGAAAAACAGCACACGATACACCTGCCCATCCCTACGACCACCCTCTCTCTGTGGTGGTGATCTCTGACCTTTGTCCATGCCACTGAGCCACTCCTCGGCCGACATGGCGGCTGCACTCGCCGCCGTCATGGGGTAGATGTCTTCCTGGTACGACTCCGACTACAGGGGGCGCAAATACACACACGTACACACAGTTGATGCCGAATTGTCATGTCTTCACTACATTGCATTAATGCATTTGGATCAGTAGATTGTGACTATATTGTGTTCTAGTGCTCAGTAGATTGACTATATTGTGTTCTAGTGCTCAGTAGATTGACGATATGTGTTAGTGCTCAGTGTTGTGACTAATTGTGTTCTAGTCCTCAGTAGATTGACTATATTGTGTTCTAGTGCTCAGTAGATTGACTATATTGTGTTCTAGTGCTCAGTAGATTGTGACTATATTGTGTTCTAGTGCTCAGTAGATTGTGACTATATTGTGTTCTAGTGCTCAGTAGATTGACTATATTGTGTTCTAGTGCTCAGTAGATTGACTATATTGTGTTCTAGTGCTCAGTAGATTGACTATATTGTGCTCTCAGTAGATTGACTAATTGTAAGTTCATGATGATTAGTGTTCTAGTGCTCAGTAGATTGTGACTATATGTGTGTTCTAGTCCAGTAGATTGTGACTATATGTGTTCTAGTGCTCAGTAGATTGACTATATTGTGTTCTATAGTGGCTCAGTAGATTGACTATATTGTGTTCTGTGCTCATAGATTGTACTATATGCGGTCTAGTGCCAGTAGATTGTGGACGATATATTTGTTCTAGTGCTCAGTGATCTCAGTAGATGTGACTATTTTGTTCTAGTGCTCTAGATGACTATTTGTTTTAGTGCTCATTGATTGGATTATTTGTGTTTATGCTCGTAGATTGTCTTATTGTGTCTAGGGCTCAGTAGATTGTGGACTTATTGTGTTCTGGCTCATGGGTTTTATTATTGTGTTCTAGTGCTCAGTAGAAACATATAGGTTTTAGTGCTCATGTTTGTGACTAATTTTGTTTAGCCCCCAGTGATTGCTATATGTTTCTAGTGTCAATTTGACTATAGGTTCTGTCCAGAGATTGTACTATATTGTGTTAGTGCCAGTAATTGTGATATATAGTGTTAGTGCTCAAGATTGTGACTTATTTTGTTTAGTGCTCAGTGATTTGGGGCTATATGTGTTTATGCCTCAAGGGGGCATACGTTTCTAGTACTCAGTAGATTGACTATATATGTTTTTGTCATAGATTTTACTTAAATTTGGTTCAGGCTCAGTAGATTGACTAAAAGTGTTTAGTGCTCAGTAGATTGTGAATATTGGTTTAGCCCTCAGAGTTTGGAAAAAGTTTTCTAGTGCTCGGGAGATGACTATATAGTGTTCTAGTGTCAGTAGATGTGACTATATTGGTTCTAGGCTCAGTAATTGACTTATGGTTCTGTGCCAGTAGTTGATATAATGTGTTTAGTGCTCAGTAGTTGGACTATATGGTTTAGTGTCAGAGAGACTATAAGGTTTAGGCTCAGAGATTGACATAATGGGTTTTCTAGGTCAGTAGATGATTAAGTGTCTAGTGCTCAGAGATGTGACTATATTGTGTTTAGTGCTCAGTAGATTGACTATATGGGTTTTTAGTGTCGTAGATTGATTATACTGTTTAGTGCCAGGGTTTGGGGGATATTTGGTTCTAGTGCTCAGTAGTTTTGTATATTGTGTTCTGGCTCTGTGATGACTAAAAGGTGTTCTGTGCTCAGTGAGAAATAGTGTTTAGTGCCCCGTAGATTGGACTAATGGGTTTTCTAGTGCTCGTGATTGGATATATATGTTTGTGCTGTAGTTTGACTTAAGTTTTGGCAAAAGTAGATTGATTAATGTGTTTTGCTCATAGATTGACTATAAGGGGTTTTCTAGGGGCCAGTAGATTGAATATAGTGCTCTAGGCTCAGAGTTGACTAAAGTGTTAGTGTCAGTTTTTGGACCCTAAGTGTTTGGTCCCATAGTTTGACTTTTGTGTTCTAGGTCAGTGTTTTACAATATGTTATGCCAGAGTTGACTTATAGTGTTCTAGGTCAGTAGATTGGATATATTGTTTTCTAGGCTCAGTAGTTTGATATGGGTTCTAGGGGAGTAGTTTGATATAGTGTTTAGTGCTCAGTAGTTTGACTTATAGGTTCTATGCTCAGTAGATTGAAATAGTGTTCTAGGTAGTAGATTGATTAAGGTTCTAGTGCTCAGTAGATTGACAATGGGTTTTCTAGTGCTAGTAGAGTGACTTTTGTGTTCTAGTGCTCAGAGTTTTGACTATTTGTTCAGTGTCAGTAGTTTGACTATAAGGTTTTCCGTGTCAGTAGATTGACTATATAGTGTTCTAGTGCTCAGTAGATTGACATATTGTGTTCTAGTGCTCAGTAGATAAACTATATAGTGTTCTAGGCTCAGTAGATTGTGACTATATTGTGTTCTAGTCCTCAGTAGATTGTGACTATATAGTGTTCTAGTGCTCAGTAGATTGACTATATAGTGTTCTAGTGCTCAGTAGATTGTGACTATATTGTGTTCTAGGCTCAGTAGATGACTATATAGTGTTATAGTGCTCAGTAGATTGACTATATTGTGTTCTAGTCCCAAAGTAGATTGACATATTGTGTTCTAGTGCTCAGTAGATTGACCATAATGTGTTCTAGTTGCTCAGTAGATTGACTAAATAGTGTTCTAGTGCTCAGTTGATTGACTATATAGTGTTCTAATGCTCCGTAGATTGTGACTATATTGTGTTCTAGTGCTCAGTAGATTGACTATATAGTGTTCTCGTGCTCAGTAGATTGTGACCCTATGTGTTCTGGTCCTCAGTAGATTGACTATATTGTGTTCTAGTGCTCAGTAGATTTACTATATAGTGTTCTAGTGCTCAGTAGATTGTGACTATATTGTGTTCTAGTGCTCAGTAGATTGACTATATTGTGTTCTAGTGCTCAGTAGATTGACTATAATGTGTTCCAGTGCTCAGTAGATTGACTATATAGTGTTCTAGTGCTCAGTAGATTTTGACTATATTGTGTTCTAGTGCTCAGTAGATTGACTATATAGTGTTCTAGTGCTCAGTAGATTGTGACTATATTGTGTTCTAGTGCTCAGTAGATTGACTATATAGTGTTCTGGTCCTCAGTAGATCGACTATATTGTGTTCTAGTGCTCAGTAGATTTACTATATAGTGTTCTAGTGCTCAGTAGATTGACTATATAGTGTTCTAGTGCTCAGTAGATTGTGACCCTAAGTGTTCTGGTCCTCAGTAGATTGACTATATTGTGTTCTAGTGCTCAGTAGATAGACTATATAGTGTTCTAGTGCTCAGTAGATTGACTATATAGTGTTCTAGTGCTCAGTAGATTGTGACTATATTGTGTTCTAGTGCTCAGTAGATTAACTATATTGTGTTCTAGTGCTCAGTAGATTGACTTAATGTGTTCCAGTGCTCAGTAGATGACTATATAGTTTTTCTAGTGCTCAGTAGTTTGACTATTTTGGTTCTAGTGCTCAGTAGATTGGACATATTGTGTTCTAGTGCTCAGTAGATTGACCATAATGTGTTCTAGTGCTCAGTAGATTGACTATATAGTGTTCTAGTGCTCAGTTGATGGACTATATAGTGTTCTAATGCTCCGTAGATTGTGACTATATTGTGTTCTAGTGTCAGAGATTGACTATATGTGTTCTGTGCTCAGTAGTTGTGACCTATGTGTTTCCTGGTCCTCAGTAGATTGCTATATTGTGTTCTAGTGCTCAGAGATGACATATAGGCTAGGCTAGGTTGATTGACTATAGGTGTTCTAGTGCTCAGTGATTGACTATGTGTTCCAGTGCTCAGTAGTTTTGACTATATAGTGTTCTAGTGCTCAGTAGATTGACTATATAGTGTTCTAGTGCTCAGTAGATTGACTATATTGTGTTCTAGTGCTCAGTAGATTGACTATATTGTGTTCTAGTGCTCAGTAGATTGACCATAATGTGTTCTAGTGCTCAGTAGATTGACTATATAGTGTTCTAGTGCTCAGTGATTGACAAATTTGTGTTTAATGCCCCGTAGTTTGTGACTAATAGGTTCTAGTGTCAGTAGTTTGACTATATAGTGTTCTAGTGCTCAGTAGATTGTGACCCTAAGTGTTCTGGTCCTCAGTAGATTGACTATATTGTGTTCTAGTGCTCAGTAGATTGACTATATAGTGTTCTAGTGCTCAGTATATTGACTATATAGTGTTCTAGTGCTCAGTAGATTGTGACTATATTGTGTTCTAGTGCTCAGTAGATTAACTATATTGTTTTCTAGTGCTCAGTAGATTGACTAATTGGTTTCTAGTGCTCAGTAGATGACTATAATGTGTTCCAGTGCTCAGTAGATTGACTATATGGTGTTCTAGTGCTCAGTAGATTGACTATATAGTGTTCTAGTGCTCAGTAGATTGACTATATTGTGTTCTAGTGCTCAGTAGATTGACTATATTGTGTTCTAGTGCTCAGTAGATTGACTATATAGTGTTCTAGTGCTCAGTAGTTTGACTATACTGTGTTCTAGTGCTCAGTAGATTGACTATATTGTGTTCTAGTGCTCAGTAGATTGACTATAATGTGTTCCAGTGCTCAGTAGATTGACTATATGGTGTTCTAGTGCTCAGTATATTGACTATATAGTGTTCTAGTGCTCAGTAGATTGTGACTATATTGTGTTCTAGTGCTCAGTAGATTGACTATAATGTGTTCCAGTGCTCAGTAGATTGACTATATTGTGTTCTAGTGCTCAGTAGATTGACTATATTCGTGTTCTAGTGCTCAGTAGATTGACTATATTGTGTTCTAGTGCTCAGTAGTTGACTATATTGTGTTCTAGTCCCTCAGTAGATTGACTATATAGTGTTTCTAGTGCTCAGTAGTTGACTAATTGTGTTCTAGTGCTCAGTAGATTGACTATATTGTGTTCTAGTGCCAGTAGTTTGACATAAGTTTTCCCAGTGCTCAGTAGTTGACTATATGGTGTTCTAGTGCTCAGTAGATTGACTATATAGTGTTCTAGTGTCGTAGATTGACTATATTGTGTTTTAGTGCTCAGTAGATTTATATTAGGTTCTAGTGCTCATAGATTGTGACTCTAAGTGTTTGGCCTCAGTAGTTTTGGACTATATTGTTCTAGTCCAGAGTTTACTATATAGTTTCTAGTGCTCAGTAGATTGACTAATAGTGTTCTGTGCTCAGTAGTTTGATTTCTAGTTCTGTGCCAGTAGATTGACTATATAGTGTCTGTGTCAGAGTTTGACTAATATGTTTTGCTCAGTAGATTGAATATATGTTTCTAGTGCCTCAGTAGATATTGCTATTAGTGTTCTAGTGCTCAGTAGATTGACTATATAGTGTTCTAGTGCTCAGTAGATTGACTATATAGTGTTCTAGTGCTCAGTAGATTGTGACCCTAAGTGTTCTGGTCCTCTGTGTTGGTGTGTCAGGGGTTCTTACCCTACGAGGTACGATCATGGAGAGGGGCTCGATAAGGGCCTTGATCGTCACCAGTTTGTAGAACCTGAACACCTCACAGGAACTCACATCCAGGCCTCTCTTTGGCATGATACCTGAGGGTGGAGGGACACACACACACACACACACACACACACACACACACACACACACACACACACACAGGGAGTTAGTAGCACTGCCTGTTTCTGACACCTTGACCAAACCGGCCCCATGTGTGCGCCATCGTGCGCTTATTGATTTTGTCTATCCCTACCAGACATGTTCATGACACGCAGGTTAAAATACCAAAACCAACTGTGAAGCAACTATATTAATTTGGGAACAGGTCAAAACACACATGAAACATTAATGTACATTTAGCTAGCTTGCTTTTGCTAACTAATTTTTCCTGTGAGACAAACATTGGGTTGTTATTTGAACTGAAATGCATATGGTCCTTTTTGTAGCTGGATGTTTGTAGAATTTGGACCCATTTTGAGTCATACAAAATCGTGTGTTTTCTACTCCAACAATTAATCCACAAATAAAAGGGGAAACCTAGTTAGTTTTCTTTGATTAATCCCTCCTCGTTCATCTTTCAATCCCCACGTGGGTTAATATGCTCATGAAAAACCAATGACTAGATGGGAGAGGCGGGACTTGCAATGCGTCAAGCGTCTCAAATAGAACCAAGTTCTATTTTAGCGCCTGGCTACGCAGTTGCCCGTTGACGCGAGCAGTTTGGATGAAACGATTGAATAACATGTACTGTATGTGTACGTTTACTTAGCAACGCTCACGCACGCAACGTAGCCGGTCTAGTCAGCATCAGACAAACACTCCCATCTCAATCACGGTTTCATTGTTCGATACTGTCCATGTCCAACTTGTTGACTTTGTTGATTCCAAGTCTTGCCAACAAGGGACTGCAATTTGACTTTGCGTCCTATTCAAGCCCTTCAACGGTGATTCAGTTGTTAAACTCCAGAGACAGAGGATAAGAGCATTCGCTAAATGAATCAAAATGTCAAATGGAACTAGTGCCGCTGCTCCACCACTATCAACCCCAGTGCTTCTGTTGTTACTGCTGATGGTAGGGTTATTCATGTTGTAAGTCACTGTCATCAAAACTCATGACTGAAAGCCTCGTCATCACCTCTTTGGCTAGTCAAATCAGCTGGATCATTTGCACATCTGGTTTGGTTGCAGGCGCACACAGTGTGTGTGTGTGTGTGTATGTGTGTGTGAGTCTGTGTGTGTGTGTGTGTGTGTGTGTGAGTCTGTGTGCTTACCCATTCCTTTCTGAGGAGTATGCGAGCGGTACTCTGTGAGGAAGTGCATGTAGGGCTTCTCTGAGCTGATCTCATAGTACCTGATATTACCATCGCCCTGAGAGAGAGACACAGAGATGGAGAGAGAGACAGAGAGAAAGAGAGGGAGAGAGAGAGCGGGGAGAGAGACAAAGAGAGGACAGAGATCGACAGAGATGGAGATGGAGAGAGGAGAGAGAGAGAGAGAGAGAGAGAGAGGACAGATGGAGAGAGAGACAGAAAGTGACAGAGGCGGAGAGAGAGAGGGAGAGAGAGAGAGAGAGAGAGACACCAGTCAAACATGTAGGCAAACTCAAATACATGAAATAAATGTGGGTGTGCTCTTGTTCTTCAAGAGTCAACCATTAAAACATATTAGAATTCATTCATTCAGAAGCCCTTGATGGGAATGTGTTGTGTTTCTATCAGCCAGGTACCAGAGACCCACCTTCCCTGCTATGTACAGCATGTGTGTGTCTGGGTCATAGAAAGGGAAGAGCACCCCAGACGAACCATCTAGGTCCTCCTGTAACAAAGGCACATCTAGGTCCTCCTGTAGACACACACACACGAGAGAGAAAGTATATTATTTACTTAATCAACTAAACTTGTTAAAAGGCAAGAACACCTTATTACTTCAATAAGAATGGAGGTTTCAAGTGGACCTAACATGAACATGTCTCCCAGTACAGAATTAAAAAGATTGACTGTTTAAAAAACCCTAATCCGTGTTGCAGTCATAATCCCCCCGCCCACTCAGATACACACACACACACCAACAAACATCGGGTTTCAAATCAAATACTTGTTGTTGTGCAACAAACACACACATGGAGGGATCAGATCATAAATGACATAACCAAAACAGATACTATCTGTGTTTGGGGCTTTGACATGAAAGCATCCCGCAGGATTTCCATTGTGGGATACACCCATTAGGCACCAGAGGGAGCCGTTGTCTAATCAGAATAAGATGAAGTCACCACTAATAGACACTGATCTAAGGTCAGTTTTGAATTTGCCCCCCCCTATGGATTTTGAATTGGGGAAGTAAGCTGTTCCTAGCACTGTTCCATAGAGCAGCCTCTACCAAAGTAAGCTGAAGGTGCTCCTATACACTGCTCTAAGGTCAGTTTTACATATCCTTAATGGTTGAGATCAGAGATTGTCGGTGAGACAGCTGATCCTAGTAGTGTGGTTGTGTACCTGGTCCCAGAGGGCCATCTGTCTGTGGTTCCAGCGGGAGTTGCCGGTGGACAGCAGCATCTTGAGGTTCCCCAGGAACAGCACCTTGCTGGCTTTGTGGTTCTTACAGTTGGCCTCCTGAAACATACAGCAGGAAACAAATACAAAAACAAAAAGGTCTATGAGAAGAGGTTTATTTTGAAATGTTTTATTGAGTCTATATTTAACCAGATTGGTCAGAAATGAAATTATATAATTTGAAGCAATGCCCCGTTCAGGAAGACAGATGGGTGGATACATAACCCTACAGAGTTGTTTTAACTACTGTATTTACATGACATCACAGTATGTGAGATGTTATGGGTATCATGCTCCTGGGGTTTCAGTAGTTTCAGAAGTAAACAGTCTATTGGTTTCTGTATAAACATGATGATATTTGAAACGTCAGCACATCGCGTCTCCACAAATAGGTCTTTGCAATATCACTGTGTCACTCTCTGCACATTGCCACGTCAGCTGGTTTGAGGGGCGGAGAGGCGGGTGAGAACAGACAGAGGACATGAGTTATGGGGTGGCTGGGTGCTGACCCCAGTGGTCTATGGGGCGGCCGATGGGGAGGTGTCAGTTTTGGCTGTGTGGTGCTGGAGGAGCACAGGACAGGGAGAGAGGGAGAATCCTTTCTGACAACTTAGTAACCATATTGCTCAGGCTGGACACTAAGCGCCATGTTGATATAAATAGTATTCATGCACATACACACACTCAATCACTGTTACCGGTGACAACGGCATTATGAATAAAAAAATGGAATCCTACACACAAACCCCTTCACACCCAGCAACCCCACCCGTACACACCTGTAGCAGATTCCCAGTGCGCGGCTCTAGAACTCTGATCTTCTTGTCCTTGCAGGACGTGGCCAGTCTGCTGCCATCTGTGTTGAAGGACATGGAGAGCACCACGTCAGTGTGGTGGCTGATGGTCCGGACTGGATTCTTTATTACCGCCTCAGGACAGTCCAGGTTCCAGATCATCACCTGGGGAAGGACGCACACGCACACACACACACACACGTTATGAAATCAGATACTGAAAGTACAAACGGATTGACAAAGTATTTTAAATTCTGTAACTTGACAGGCGAGCAGGGTGTGTGTGTTTTTAGTTTTAGTTTGTTTCCACCTAGGGCTGTGGCGGTCATTACATTCTGTCAGCCGGTGATTATCAAGCAAATAACTGCCGGTCTAAAGGTAATTTACCGTTAATTAACATAAACACATTTAGCATCTCCTGTCTTCCACGCATAGCCTACAAGCCACTGATAGAGACCTTTGGAACATCTACATTTAAAAAAGTCTTAATAAATCCATGTAATATAGCCTACACCATCACAATAAATCCATTATTTATTTTAGACAGGTCTAAAGAAACATGATATGAAGAAAATGTAGTCTATTTCAGAAGAACAGAATAGCATACTCTGAGTTGTCCTTAGGTTAGGCCCTGATCTGGCTATGCCATATGGCTGTGGGCTACACTAGTTCATTTAGCAGACAAGATTTGCTTAGAATTCCGTGGCATTATTTTATATTATTTTATAGTATGAAGAATACAATTGAACAAAGCTGAATAAAATAGAAAGGATATTTTCTCCAAACGATTTGAGGGAGTGTGCACATGCGGCTATTCTGTGTTGAGCTGTTAACAAAGAAACAGGTAATGCTTAATTTAGAGTTATTTATGTAATATGTGATACAAATGTTGGGCTATATGTTTAGATTTTTAATACATTCTAAGGCTGCATGATGCGACTAATGATGATTTGAAAAAAGTTGTGTGAAAGGAATGAGCTCTGCTTTGTTTTTTGCGCAGGCTGTACACACTTCATCAGTCTCTCATTCACAATTTGACAAGCACTTGATAATACCTCGAATTTCCCGGCTGCATCCCCTTTGTGTGGTCGTAATGCCCCCTAAAAAAATCCATGCCTTTTATGGCCAGTGGCCATTGTGCCCTTGGGCTGAATATAATAATTATAATTCCCTTCGCCCAGCTGCGTGCCGAAGTACCTCTCACTCACATGGCTCTCCGTCACGTGATCGGGTCTTCCTCACAGGCTACAAGTGAAGACAGACACATCGGGGACGCAACTGCGCGCGTCCTTATCGAATTCCGAGGCGCATATTGAAGATATTGGAAGAACTGTCCACATGTACTTTTTGTCAGCCAACAAGATGAGTAGGCCTAAAGAACCGCAAAAGCACTAGCCTATGTCAATCTACTATCCCCATAGTACAAAAGTTGACCTATTATATTCTGTGCGAGAAATAAATATTCCAAACATAGTCCGATTTTTTATGGAATATCTACATAGGCGTACAGAGGCCCATTATCAGCAACCATCAGTCCTGTGTTCCAATGGCACGTTGTGTTTGCTAATCCAGGTTTATCATTTTAAAAGGCTAATTGATCATTAGAAAACCCTTTTGCAACAGGTCCTCAACTGGCAGCTTCATTAAATAGTACCCGCAAAACACCAGTCTCAACGTCAACAGTGAAGAGGCGACTCCGGGATGCTGACCTTCTAGGCATAGCTGCAAAGTAAAAGCCATATCTCAGACTGGCCAAAAAAAAGAAAAGATTAAGATGGGCAGTCTGAGATATGGCTTTTTCTTTGCAACTCTGCCTAGAAGGTCAGCATCCCAGAGTCGCCTCTTCACTGTTGACGTTGAGACTGGTGTTTTGTTTCTTTAATCAGCACAACAGTTTTCAGCTGTGCTAACATAATTGCAAAAGGGTTTTCTAATGATCAATTAGCCTTTTAAAATGATAAAGTTGGATTAGCAACCACAACATGCCATTGGAACACAAGACTGATGGTTGCTGATAATGGGCCTCTGTACGCCTATGTAGATATTCCATTAAAAATCAGCCGTTTCCAGCTACAATAGCCATTTACAACATTAACAATGTCTACACTGTATTTCTGATCAATTTGATGTTATTTTAATGGGCAAAAAAATTGATTTTCTTTCGAAAACAAGGACATTTCTAAGTGACCGCAAACTTTTGAACGGTAGTGTATGTGTGAAATTTGTTTTGATTTTGGAATGGACCATTATCATGCACCTGTAGCGGAAAAAAATACATGTAATCTATGCACTTAAATAGCGAATGGAGGACGCTTTTCCCGTGGTTAATTTTTATGTCAGCCAGGTAGGCTATACTCCTGTTGTAAAGAGAAGCAATGTGCTTAATATTAGGAAAGTTGAGAAACAAATATAGTAGGCCTAGCCTATAGAAAGCTGATGGGATCCTCCTCTTTTTAATAGAGGCCATCACTCTGCTTTCTGCTTTCTCACGCAATTGCATAGCCTATAGAAATGTTGCGCAACATGAGCTCATGGGCTCTCATGAAGCGTTTGATAAGATTTCGATGACATTTGCATTGATGACAGAGTGATTAGAGGGACAATAGAGTGCTGAGTAAGAGGCAGTTAACAAGTTTGGTAGGCTACTAATGACTATCAGCAGCATCAGAGCTTGGAGAAGCCTAATTACCGTGACTAAAACGGTCATGTGGAATTTGACAGCCGTCATGACTTGTGACTGCTGGTGTGGCGGTAATACAGTCACCTTATCAGCCCTATTTCCAACCACATTTGACATTCTTATACAGTAGATTCCTACATGGGCGTCTAATATTCAAGTATTGAGGAGCTACAATAGATTGCCAAGGAATCTTTATAGGTCAACAAAGAGCAATGTTCATGTCTGGCAGATAGACAGTGACCGTGATGCTTACTGTTGGACTTTGCCAAGCAGAATAAGCTGCAGTAGAATGTAGTGACCCGTTAGGCTGCATTTCAATACTGATACTCGCCAATGCTATTTCCTGGTTAGCTCTCACTATTGGGTATTTGTCTTTGAGTGTGAGTGTACAGTGCCTTCAGAAAGTATTCACACCCCTTGACTTTTTCCACATTTTGTTGTGTTACAAAGTGGGATTAAAATTGATTTAATTGTCTTTTTTTTTTGTCAACGATCTATACAAAATACTCTGTCAAAGTGGAAGAAAAATTCTAACATTTTATTTTATTAATGGAAAATAAAACACAAATATATTTTGATTAGATAAATATTCAACCCCCTGAGTCAATACATGTTAGAATCACCTTTGGCAGCGATTACACCTGTGAGTCTTTCTGGGTAAGTCTCTAAGAGCTTTGCAAACCTGTATTGTACAATATTTGCCCATTATAATTTTTTTAATTTGTCAAGCTCTGTCAAGTTGGTTGTTGATAATATAATAAGCCATTTAGCAGACGCTTTCATCCAAAGCGACTTACAGTCATGTGTGCATATATTTTTACGTATGGGTGATCCCGGGGATCGAACCCACTACCCTGGCGTTACAAGCGCCATGCTCTACCAATTGAGCTACAGAGGATCATTACTAGACAGCCATTTTCAAGTCTTGCCAAAGATTTTCAAGCCGATTTAAGTCAAAACTGTAACTAAGCCACTCAAGAACATTCAATATTGTCTTGGTAAGCAATCAGTGTGTATTTGGCCTTGTGTTTTAGGTTATTGTCCTGCTGAAAGGTGAATTTGTCTCCCAGTGTCTGTTGGAAAGCAGACTGAACCAGGTTTTCCTCTAGCATGTTGCTTGTGCTTAGCTCTATTCCTTTTCTTTTTATCCTAAAAAATCTCCCTTGCCGATGACAAGCATACACACAACATGATGCAGCCACCACCATGCTTGAAAATATGAAGAAGGGTACTCAGTGATGTTGTGTTGGATTTGCCCCAAACATTACACTTTGTATTCAGGACATAAAGTTAATTTCTTTGCCACATTTTTTGCAGTATTACTTTAGTGCCTTATTGCAAACAAGATGCATGTTTTGGAATATTTTTATTCTGTACAGGCTTCCTTTTCACTCTGTCATTTAGGTTAGTATTGTGGAGTAACTACAATGTTGTTGATCCATCCTCACTTTTCTCCTATCACAGCCATTTAACGCTGTAACAGGTTTAAAATCACCATTCGCCTCATGGTGAAATCTCTGAGCGGTTTCCTTCCTCTTCGACAGCTGAGTTAGGAAGGACGCCTGTATTTTTGTAGTGACTTGGTGTATTGATACACCATCCAAAGTGTAATTAATAACAACCATGCTCAAAGGAATATTCAACGTCTGCTTTTTTTATTTATTTCTACACATCTACCTATCGTGCCCTTCTTTGTCAGGCATTGGAAAAACTCCCTGGTCTTTGTCGTTGAATCTGTGCTTGAAATTCACTGCTCGACTGAGGGACCTTACAGATAATTGTCGAGTACAGAGATGAGGTAGTCATACAAAAATAATGTTAAACACTATTATTGCACATAGAGACCATGTGACTTGTTAATACAAATGTTACTCCTGAAGTTATTTAGGCTTGCCGTAACAAAGAGGTTGAATACTTAATGATGCAAGACATTTCAGCTTTTCATTTTTTATTAATTTGTAAAAATGTCTAAAAACATAATTCCACTTTGACATTATGGGATATTGTGTGTAGATCAGTGACACAAAATCTAAATGTAATCAATTTTAAATTCAGGCTGTCACACAACAAAATGTGGAAAAAGTCAAGGGGTGTGAATACTTTCTGAAGGCACTGTATATATGAGCTTGTGTATCTGTGGGTTAGCGTGGGTGGTGTGTGTTACCTGGTAGTCATAGCCAGTGCTGAAGAGCACATTGTTGGCAGTAGGGTGCCACTCGATGAGGCCCACCCTGCGGCTGTGACCCTGCAGCTCCTTCCACGGCAACCGTCAGGTTCTTCAGCATACCATGGGGAGGGATGTCCCAGACCTTCACCTGTTAGAGCAACACACACACAAATGCACACAGACAGACACACAGGCACACACACACACATACAAAGTTACATACATTGACTAGAGCCAAGCTCAACCATTGACTAGAGCCAGCTCACATTGCCAAACTGAAAGGTGAGGAATCTGAGACTGACAAGCGGCTAATACATAACACACAATGATGAGTTGGAACTCTCCAACATGTTACAAGTGGTAGTAGAGGTCAGGACTTCAGACAACTTTAACTAGGCCCTCTAGTTATCTTTGACTGTTTAAAAGTTGTTGTTCTTAACCCGTCTGCTGCTTAGTCAGTGGTATGAAATGTCAGGAATGGAAAGGTGATTTTATGTGTGTGTGTGTGTGTGTGTGTGTGTGCACTACTGACCGTGGAGTCCTCTGAGCAGGATGCTATACAGAAGTCGTTGAAGGGGTTCCATTTGATATCCAGTACGTTACCTCGGTGGCCAGACACTTTGGGGTGATGGGGGTCCACCTTCCCTGTCTGAAAAACACAGACAAAGTCAGTGTGTGTTTGTAAGGTTCCTAGGAGCCATGGGGCCATGGGGCCATGGGGCCAAGAGAAGGTGGAGCTAGAGTCTGAGGTTGGATCTCATTCATCATTACATTAGATACTCTATATCCTGCCTACACATTTCTGTACATACACTACCAGTCAAAAGTTTGGACACACCTACTCGTTCAAGGGTTTTTCTTTATTTTTACTATTTTCTACATTATAGAATAATAGTGAAGACATCAAAACTATGAAATAACACATATGGAATCATGTAGTAACCAAAAAAGTGTTAAACAAATCAAAATATATGTTATATTTGAGATTCTTCAAATAGCCACCCTTTGCCTTGATGACAGCTTTGCACACTCTTGGCATTCTCTCAACCAGCTTCACCTGGAATGCTTTTCCAACAGTCTTGAAGGAGATCCCACATATGCTGAGCACTTGTTGGCTGCTTTTCCTTCACTCTGAATTTATTTCCTTCTTAATGCGTTTGAGCCAATCAGTTGTGTTGTGACAGGGGGGGGGGGGGGGTTAGTATACAGAAGATAGCCCTATTTGGTGAAAGACCAAGTCCATATTATGGCAAGAACAGCTCAAATAAGCAAAGAGAAACGACAGTCCATCATTACTTTAAGAAATTAAGGTCAGTCAATACGGAACATTTCAAGAACTTTGAAAGTTTCTTCAAGTGCAGTCGCAAAAACCATCAAGCACTATGATGAAACTGGCTCTCATGAGGCCCGCCACAGGAATGGAAGACCCAGAGTTACCTCTGCTGCAGAGGATAAGTTCATTAGAGTTACCAGCCTCAGAAATTGCAGCCCAAATAAATGCTTCACATAGTTCAAGTAACAGACACAGCTCAAAATCAACTGTTCAGAGGGGACTGTATGAATCATGCCTTCATGGTCGAATTGCTGCAAAGAAACCACTACTAAAGGACACCAATAAGAAGAAGAGACCTACTTGGGCCAAGAAACACGAGCAATGGACATTAGACCGGTGGAAATGTGTCCTTTGGTCTGGAGTCCAAATTTGAGATTTTGGTTCAAACCACTGTGAGACGTGCGTGGTTGAACGGATGATCTCCACATGTATAGTTCCCACCGTAAAGCATGGAGGAGGAGGTGTTATGGTGTGGGGGTGCTTTGCTTGTGACACTGTCCGTGATTTATTTAGAATTCAAGGCACACTTAACCAGCATGGCTACCACAGCATTCTGCAGCGATACGCCATCCCATCTGGTTTGGGCTTAGTGGACTATCATTTGTTTTTCAACAGGACAATGACCCAACACACCTCCAGGCTGTGTAAGGGCTATTTTACAAATAAGGAGAAAGATGGAGTGCTGCATCAGATGACCTGGCCTCCACAATCCCGCGACCTCAACCCAATTGAGATGGTTTGGGTTGAGTCGGACGGCAGAGTGAAGGAAAAGCAGCCAACAAGTGCTCAGCATATGTGGGAATTCCTTCAAGACTGTTGGAAAAGCATTCCAGGTGAAGCTGGTTGAGAGAATGCCAAGAGTGTAAAATATATTTTGATTTGTTTAACACTTCTTTGGTTACTACATGATTCCATATGTGCTATTTCAAAGTTTTGATGTCTTCACTATTATTCTACAATGTAAAAAATAGTAAAAATAAAGAAAAACCTGTGAATGAGTAGGTGTATCCAAACTTTTGACTTGTACTGTATATCCTGCCTACAAATTTCTATACATATATCCTGCCTACACATTTCTATACATTAAAAAAAAGGACTGAAGGTAAACAGGGTAAATCAAAAGGTAAAATGTATATTCATTACTTGAAGAAACCGATCAACAAATGTAGAGTATTCAAAGTCAGGGACAGAATTCGTCCAGGTATGCATGATGTAATCGGCAGAAGAAGTCAAGAAAGAACCATGTCAGAAGAAATTCTTAACAATCTTAATCTTAAGTCTGACTCCTCTTTACAGGTCAGGACAGGCAGCCTACCTCAGCATACTTAATGATACCTCACTAGAGAACTAACCAGCAAGTCTATGCAAGGCAACACAGCATGCCCATTGAGCAATAGGCAATGACATTAAGGAATAGTTTGTGAATAATTCACTTCAATACCCTAGTTGGCTATGCTAACATGATGGCAAAGGTGGTACATAAAGTAGTTATTTGAGAAAGAGTGTAAAAACAGTTTAAAAAGCCAACCTTACTGATATTTTTTATTCTTTAGAGGTCTGTCAACTCAGACACTTCCTGAATCCATCTAGACAGAATGTATCAAGATCAGCAACTTATGACAGAGGTGAGCATCTTGAGCAATGCAGGGGCGTGTTCACTATTCACTATTGTTTAACACAACATGTGTGGTATTACGCAATCCTTTCGGTCTCAATATGATTTGCATCAAGACAATTCAAGAAGTTTAAGAATGCAGTAATCCGATGACTGACACAACACACACACACTCCATGACATCATTGGTGTCCAGGAAGAGCATGGTGTGTGTGTGTAGGCAAGGTGTGTTTGGGATAGGGGGGGCGAGCCTTGAAACTACATGAATGACTCAGTCTAAGAACATGCTATCAGAGAGAGAGATGGGTCATACATTTATTCGATTATAGGGACCCGAACGGTGTGTGTGTGTGCATGCCTGTGTGTGTATGTCGGGGGGGAGGGGGGGGGGGGGGGTCTCTGAGACAAGCCATAGTTTCAACTCCTTGCAACAGAGGGAGGGGGAAATAGGTGAGTTATGTCATTCCTGAGCCCCTATGTAACTCCTGTCTGAGCCAAGAAGAGGAGCATGATACATTCAGAGAGAGACCCCTTTAAGAAGAAGGCGGAAAATATCAGGGAAAAGATGAGAGAAAAGATGGAGCGGCGGAGAGTCTTTCTGATGAATCACTGCAGGTCGGATCGAGAGTCTTTCTGATGAATCACTGCAGGTCGGATCGAGAGTCTTTCTGATGAATCACTGCAGGTCGGAAAGAGAGTATTTCTGATGAATCACTGCAGGTCGGATCGAGAGTCTTTCTGATGAATCACTGCAGGTCGGATCGAGAGTCTTTCTGATGAATCACTGCAGGTCGGATCGAGAGTCTTTCTGATGAATCACTGCAGGTCGGATCGAGAGTCTTTCTGATGAATCACTGCAGGTCGGATCGAGAGTCTTTCTGATGAATCACTGCAGTCGGATCGAGAGTCTTCTGATGAATCATGCAGGTCGGATCGATGTCTTTCGATGAATCACTGCAGGTCGGATCGAGAGTCTTTCTGATGAATCACTGCAGGTCGGATCGAGAGTCTTTCTGATGAATCACTGCAGGTCGGATCGAGAGTCTTTCTGATGAATCACTGCAGGTCGGATCGAGAGTCTTTCTGATGAATCACTGCAGGTCGGATCGAGAGTCTTTCTGATGAATCACTGCAGGTCGGATCGAGAGTCTTTCTGATGAATCACTGCAGGTCGGATCGAGAGTCTTTCTGATGACATCACTATCATGCGGTCGGATCGAGAGTCTTTCTGATGAATCACTGCAGGTCGGATCGAGAGTCTTTCTGATGAATCACTGCAGGTCGGATCGAGAGTCTTTCTGATGAATCACTGCAGGTCGGATCGAGTAGTCTTTCTGATGAATCACGCAGTCGTTCTGATGATCACTGCAGGTCGGATCGAGAGTCTTTCTGATGAATCACTGCAGGTCGGATCGAGAGTCTTTCTGATGAATCACTGCAGGTCGGATCGAGAGTCTTTCTGATTAATCACTGCAGGTCGGATCGAGAGTCTTTCTGATGAATCACTGCAGGTCGGATCGAGAGTCTTTCTGATGAATCACTGCAGGTCGGATCGAGAGTCTTTCTGATTAATCACTGCAGGTCGGATCGAGAGTCTTTCTGATTAATCACTGCAGGTCAGATCGAGAGTCTTTCTGATTAATCACTGCAGGTCTGAGATAAATGAAAGCCTGTAAATTCAGCTGATGTTCAGGTGAAGAGGTCTGGAGGTGCCATAGCCATACAGGGAGTTGAAAGAGAACGCCAAGTTCAGTGGAGAGATCAATGCAATGCCTCCACTGATAACACCACTGACTGTGATAAGAGGCTATACATAATAAGGACATCTTCATATACATCATTTACAAGTAAGATAGATTATTCATATCTAGACAGCAAAAGGAAGGAGGGAGGAAGTTTGTGGAGGGGTAAAAAAATAAAGATGACAGGCGTTTTAGGAGGGAAAGTTATGGGTTAGACTGTTTAACTTTAGCTGCATTTTCTTTCTGTTTTTTTTTTGCCGGTCTTTGGCTCGGGCACTGTTTGAAGTGAACCCCCCCAAAACATCAGCCTTAGCAACAGACTATAGAGGTGTTGGAGGGATACCTCAAAATGAAAAGTCAAAGCTAAAAACAGACATTATAGGTAATATAACACAACAGGACATCTCATACAATACGCCCAGAATCTATCAAATGTAAAGACCTTCAAATACTCACTAATTCACCAACAATGACATCACCCTGTAGGTAGAAGTTAGCCCTAACCACTGACACAGGGTCATATACCAGAGCTATGCTTAAGAAAAACTTCTACCTCGAGGAGAGAAAGATAGAGAGAGAGATTTCACATCCATTTCTCAAAAAAGCAAAGGTGGGCGGAGACTCACGTGATGGACAGAGAGGACCAGGAAGGCTCCGCCCCCGGCACACTCTGTGATGACGGCGATGAAGCGCGGGTTGACGGCGCAGAAGTGGTTGTCGTGGACACTCCGCGTGATGGGCACGCCATCGTAGCAGTTCTCCTTGGTGGCGGCCTTACCAAACACGTGGCGGAACTTGGAGCTGCGATACTGAGGACGCCATGTCATCTAGGATGGAGAGAGAGAGAGAATTTAGAATTTCTAATCCTGTTTATTGGATCAATATCATACATTACTACAAAAACACAGACAGAGAGGGAGAGAAGGCAGTGGAGGGGAGGGAGAGAGCTGGAGGAGGGGAGAAGGAGGGAGAGGGAGGTGGAGGAGGGGAGAAAGGAGGGAGAGAGAGACGGAGGAGGGGAGAAGGAGGGAGAGGGAGGAGGTGAAAAGGAGGGAGAGAGAGATGGAGGAGGGGAGAAGCAGGGAGAGGGAGATAAGGATGGAAGCGGAGAATGATGGAGGAGGTGGATAACTGAGTGTAGCATGAGATATTGAGGTATGGTATGAATCAGTGAGTAAGATTGGATGAGGTGAACAGTGTGAGGTGAGAATTGAGGATGTGAGAAGCAGGTGAGGAGATAGATGAGGCAGGTGTAATGGATTAGTCATCGTGAGGAGAGTATTGAGGTGAGATATAGCGGAGAGATGAGAGTGGACTCAGCGTAGAGATGTTTGATGAGGGTGAGTAGCATGGGATGAGATATTGAGAGTATGGTGATGAGATGAAGAGCTGGGATTTTCTCAAGTTCATTTAGGTGCTTTACAATTGTTGTTTTGCCCGCTCAAACCTCAGATTTTTTACGAGGAAGCCTTCAGCCAATCTCACAGAGAGGAGGATCCTCATGTAAAGCCAAAAAACTACAAATGCCTGCCCCAAAGTCTAATAATGGTGCCTTTCAACACATTTCGGTTGTGTTGTTGGCCACGCATACAAAAAAACACAGATACAGAATTTGATTTACAGAGACAGCACTTCAGCCCAATCTCACCAGAGAGTGAGAGATCCTTCTATGTCAACCAGACACAAAAAAATAATCTACAAAAAGCAGGCCACCACATAACAGTCATTAGAATCAAAATGGCAAGCTGCCCATTTCAACTGACATTCTGCGCGGCGACAGGATAGATGGACCTATTGTAATGCTGCACTCTAACACTGTCAACCACCACGGGGGATTGGAAGCGTTTACTAAAGTGAAGAACGAGCTCATCACTATCAGACTCCGCCTCTCTTCAGCCTGCACTTCAGGATCTTATCCATTAGGTAAAACGTTTTAAAATGTTTTTCAACGGGAAGCTAAAATTAGTCTTTCTTATTGGACCAGGTAATCCCACCCTGTTTCAGTCTGTTTTAGAGCCTGTTAAACCCAACCCAGCACTCCGGCTAGTGGATAAGTCATCTGTGTGAATGCTAGGCTAAGTGCCTGTGTGGAAGACCGTCTGGGACCCAGCTTGGCTAGCCAACATGTCTGTCTGCCTGCATGACTATTACTGCTGCATGGTCATTATTTAACAATCAGAGGAGAGGCTGGTGGACCTGAGGTTACAGTGCAGTAACAGTACAGGACCAAAACAGTGAGCAGGATGAAGTTGCCCTTATAGACACTGATCTTAGGTCAGTTTTTCCTACTAATGGTCAAGGTTAGGGTCTGAGGAGTAATTAGGAGTAGGATGTACTGGCTCCTCAAACACTGATCTAAGGTCAATTTGCTTTCCAATGGTTAAAGTTAGGGTTTGCCGTGGGTAAACTGATCCTAGAGCTGTACCTAAAGGCAACCGCTATCTGGAGCCCAAAGGATATGAGCTGTTGTGTCACCTGGAAATGACCTAGCTTAATGACATCATCCCTCTCTGTGTTTGGGTGGAAGTGACTTTTTTCTGGCGATGCAGATGGTGTCAGTAAAAATATATACGGCAAGAGGAAAACAGAGTGACATAATTATTTGGGGGGAAAGAGGTAAAAATAACACACTGGGAGCCAGGCAGGCCAGTGGATGGATAGTGTGGGTGTGGCTTTAGTGGTGGTGGTTGTTTGGCCAGAAGCAGAGAGGGAGAGAGAGTAGAGAGAGAGAGAGAGAGAGTAGATGAGAGGAGAGAGGGAAGCGAGAGGTACGAAAGAAGAGGTATAGAGAATATAGAGAGAGGAGGGAAGAGCGAGGATAGGCGAGAGGTAGAGACAGAGAGCAGATCGCGCTCTCTATCTATCTATTCCCTCCGCGCGCATCTACTCTCTCGACCTCTGCTCTCTCCGCTTCTCTCGTCATCTCTCTCTCGACCTCGCTCTCTCTCTCCCCTCTTTCCCTCTTCCTCCCTCCTCCCTCTCTCTCTCTCTCTCGCTACTCTCTCCGCTCTCTCTCTCCCTCTCTCTGCTCTCTCCCTCTCTCCCTCTCTCTCTATCTCTCTCTCTCGCTCCTCTCCTCGCTCCTCTCTCCCTCTCTTCGCTCTCGCTCTTACTCTCTCTCTCCTTTCTCTCCTCCTCTTTCTTCTCCTTGCTCTCTCCTCTCTCTCTTTTCTCTCTTTTCCTCTCTCTCCTCGCGCTCTCTCTCTCTCCGCCTCTCTCCCTCTCCTCTCCTCCCTCCTCCCGCTTTCCCTCCCTCCCTCTCGTCTCTTCGCGCTTCGCTCTCCTTCGCTGGCACCTTCCTCGCTACAGATTTAATAACACTCCAGGGGAGAGAGAGCGATAGAGAGAAAAAGAAAGAGAGAAAGAAGGGATAAAGATTTCCATCCTTCAGCTCGTCTCAGTCTCGGTTCACATGTGGCCCTGTCGTCTTCTACTCCCGGGTGAGCGGTTAGAGCGCTGTGCGGTCACACCCCAATGTTCTCTATGTGGCGAGAGTTGTTAACCTTTTCAGGTGAATGAATGAACCCAACCAGCCATGGGATACACATCACTCACACTGATAATGCCATATCCCTGCAGCTGCACTGCCAACAGACAGCTTACTAGAGAGAATGAGATAGTGGAACTACACTAGTGGAAATAATGCATTGAGACTGCTGCCAAATGTTTTTATCTCAAATGAACAAAAGCAAACATACAACCCCAAACAGTGAAATATCTCAATGCATGTCAAGACAGAAAGCTGGAATCTGTGTCTACTAGGCATAGTTTAATGAATATTCACACCAACAACACAATGGTCCTATCAGACTGGGCCTGTCTTCTCTCAGCTCTTCCTCTGGGCAACATCCGTGTCCCCAACAGAAAGAGAAAGCAACTGCCAACTGCCATATCCCTGTCAGTAGCAGTCACAGACAGTAGTAGGGCCTGTTGGGTGGACCTGATAGTGTCAGCCTACTGCCTGTCAGTTTCGAGGCAGTGAGAACAGGCTTGACAGGCCCTGTTGGAATGGATGACATGACGTTGATCGGCTCTGGGTAGTGTTCATAAGTGAACGCAACGGGAAAAAAACTGACTAACACAGTGAGCTGGACTTATCCAACACAAAACACTAATTTTCATTTTTTTTCCGTTGCACAACGTTTCGCTACAGTGTTCCCTTATGAACACGACCCAGCTCCCACAAGGCTCTCTCCATTGGTTCAGCTGTAGAGAGCCGAGTTCTGATCGTTCTGCTCCAAGGCTCTCTATTTGAATGTGTGGCTTTCCCCGCCTCGAGTCATCAACCCAAATACATAGAACCTGATCATTATCTCTCGACCCTCTGCTTCTCTCCAAAACCCACCTGCCCTGTTCTTCTTCTACAGCAGGGAGAACAATGACCTGAAGAACTTCACAGTGAGGGGGTTGAAAACGGCAGTAGTTCATATACATCTCAAAAGCTGCGTTCAAAATGGCAGCCTATTCCCTATATAGTGCACTGTTACATACAGTATATGGGCCCCGGACATAAGTAGTGCACTATATAGGGAATAGGGTGCCATTTCAGACACAGACAAAGTGTGACAAGCCTCCAACAGGAGGGGAAAAAAGAACCCTTTTTCCAGAAATCCAGCCTGGAGTCATAGACTTCAAATCCAGAGTTAAGTAGTGAGAGAATGTGCCAGTTCCATTTTGTGCTTTAACAGCAGGTACTGTAGGTATACAGCTTGGCTGCATGGTGGGTGTAGTGGGGCCGTCTGAACAAGGAAATTATGACCAGTACTGATTATTCTATTTTTAAGCCTGTCATCTTGCTGATCAAAAGACGCACACCCCTCCTGTCTTCCACTGCTCCAAATATGTCAACTATGTCTGTATAGCATATTGTAAAGGCTGGATATCTCTTGCTGAATAATGGAGAGCAAGGTACATAAGAGATGGAGCTAGGTCTATCAGTTTGACTGTAGAAAATCTATTTTTGTCAACAGAGGGCTATAACCAATGACTCAACTTCATATGGTAAAAGGATGCTGTAAAAACCACTGTAAAACTCATCACAAAGACATAAGACCAATCCCACGTTACATTTTTCACATCTTTAATATTTTAGTGGCTTCAACCATCTGTTCCTTAATCCTGTGAGAGCTGGGTGCGTTACCGTCTCACCCCAGTCACCTTGGTGTGTTCAGGATCCTCCACAGCCCATAAAACACAGGCACCAACAACCCGTCTACCTGACTAGCCTTGGTTGCATCCCAAATGGCACCCTATTCCCAACATATTGCACTACCTTTGACCAGATCCCTATGGGCCCTGGTCAAAAGTAGTGCACTATATAGGGAATATAGTGACATTTGGGACACACCCCTAGTCTTTCCATAGGACAGCATGTCAAAGTTTAGGACTATATATATATCTATTTACCTCTGTAGCTGAGATGGACTACACTCTCTGTTAGAATGAAATGCCTGAAGCTAGAGGCCCCATGAGACCTTCCAGCCACCAATAAACCTTCAACATCTCTGACATCTATCAGTGATCTCTCTCTCTAAGTATCATGTCACCTCACAACTCCCTCCACTACCCTCACAGCTAAACTACAACTCCCTCACAACCAAACTACAACTCCTTCCACCACCCTCACAACCAAACCACAACTCCCTCCACCACCCTCACAACCAAACTACAACTCCATCCATAACCCTCACAGCCAAACTACAACTCCCTCCACCACCCTCACAGCCAAACTACAACTCCCTCACAACCAAACTACAACTCCCTCCACTACCCCCACAACAAAACAACTACAACCACACCCACTCCACAAACCTCACAACCAAACTACACACTCCCGCCACCACCCTCACAACAACCAAACTCCTCCACACCCTCACAACCAACTACAACCCCTCACAAACCAACTACAACTCCTCCACACCCTCACAGCCAAACTACAACTCCCTCCACCACCCTCACAACCAAACTACAACTCCACCCCTCACAACCAACTACAACTCCCTCACACCCCACAACAACTCCCCCCCACACCACTCATCACAACACAACCCCTCCACACCCTCACACCAAACTAACACCCCTCCACCACCCTCACAGCCAAACTACAACTCCCTCCACCAACCTCACAACTCCCTCCACTACCCTCACAACCAAACTACAACTCCCTCCACTACCCTCTCAACCAAACTACAACTCCCTCCACCACCCTCAAAGCCAGACTACAACTCCCTCCGCCACCCTCACAGCCAAACTACAAATGTCCCACCTTTACCTCAACCTAATGTCGTCTCTTATTAGAATATGTTACTATTAAACTATCTTTCCATTGATGTTTCCACTATGAGAGTATGACAGCTTGGGAGAGGGGGAGTAGTTGAGGAGGGGGTAAGGCGGGTGAGGAAGTGGGAGATAGATTGAGGGATGTTGTCGGGTCGCCTGCCGTGTTTTGTAAGCGCTCAAAGGGAAACCCGAGCCGGGGAATGTCCAGGTGGGTGTGAGTGTGTGTCTACGTTCCTGTCTGACATGATGTCGTACTCAGACGACAGCCACGCGCTACAAGCTTTCTACCTGTAAGAGGAGACCATGCAGTCCAGGTAACACAATAACAGCCCAACACTATAGAATGTACATGGAAAAGAGGAATGTGTTATGGGAGGAGATGCCTTGACAGGGGCGAGCGGGGTGTGTGTACGTGTGTGTGTGTGTAGTCTGGCTGCAGACTGTGGGAAAGAAAGAGCATTTCGAGCTTGTGGAGGACCTGCAGCAGGTGAAATGTTCTACTATAGAGAGAGAGAGCCTGGGCCTTACGGCACTATCAATGGGAAAACTCCCACTACAGGACAATGTGTGTGTTGAAGTGTGTGTGTGCAAGCATGTGTATATAGGCTGCACACCATTCAGAAAAAATGCTAACTCTGAATGAACAACAGTCAGTTGTTTTCCAGTTGCTTTTGTATGCATTAACATGCGTCTGCGCACCTGTGTGTGTGTGTGTGTGTGTGTGTGTGTGTGTGTCGGAGCATTCTTAGAATTCTGGAATTGTATGCATATGACTGCTGCCAATATGCAAAGTCAATGGTATTGACAGGGATTGAAGCACAGAGGAAGTATGAATAACACGTATGCATGGCTTACACAATCAAACAGATAGCCTATAGTCCTCCTATGGCCAAACAACTTCCCTATACAGCATACAGGTGTAGCGCCAACCTACTGTAAACACTCACTCACCACTTCCTACATATTGACACTACAAACTCCTCCAGTGAGTCCAGTCTGGTTAAAACGTCCTTTAAAACATTTCAAAAGCAGAACACCAGGCAATGTAATCCTGGTATTATATGGGTTGAAATCTACAGATAGCAATATAAAGTGCTGCTTTGTGTTGTGTAGAGTTTTAAGCCGTAGGGATATCTCCAGTGACAGGAGTGGATTTAATTATGAACTAATGGGTGAATTAGGTGAGCAGGGTGTGGTGTGTCCAACAATGGGACAATGTGACTGCTCCCATTGTAGGCTAATACAACCCTTTACAGTACAAATCAATCAGAAGGCTATGCTATCCCACTTCAGGAGCACACACACACACACACACACACACACACGGTAACACACACACGGTAACACATGCACAGTAACACACACACCTCATTGCCTTAACATGAATGAGAAATGGGATCCAGAGCTTGATGAATAGGTCTTGTGCGTGAACATAGTTCAGTGGCAGAGAGCCTTAGAAGACCCAACCATAAAAAACCATCTGTAATTTAACCCTTGACTGATTCAGTACAGGGATGATGTCATGTAATGTTCACTATTCTAAAACTGTAACAGATCCTTCTTCACGTTCCCTTTTAGGTTTAGCCAGAGTCAGCAGGATTATGCTGCCGCTGGCAATGTGCTTGAATAATTACTTTGTAATGACAACTTCACACACACTTCAAACGCTCCCTAGAGGTGTTAGGTTGAGTGTGTGTCTCTCCTCCATATGAGAGTGTACCTTGTTGGAGCCTGCCTCAGCTCCTCAGGAGCCATAAAACTGCACACCGTAATCACCCTGTCCCTTACTCAGCTCTCCCTCTCACACACACACACACACACACACACACACACACGACTGTCAAGCCCTGGGGTGAGCTCACTCACGCCAACAAACACGTTGCCACACAAACACACGCACACGTTACAGGAAGGGTGAGGTAGAGATGGAAGGACAGAAAACTAAAGGAATGCAAGGTAGTGAAGGGGAGAGATAAGGAGCAAGTATGAAAGATTAAAGAGATTATGAGTGAACAGCTGATAGTGAAAGAGAGAGAGAAAGATCTGTCATTCCCTCTGTCTGAAGCCTACTCACCCTGTCTAGTCAGTGTGGGATGGCAGGCAGGCCAACAGAGAAAAGGAGAAAAGAGAGAGAGAGAGAGAGAGAGAGAGAGAGAGAGAGAGCAGGTACTGTCTATCTGTCCCGTCCGGATGGCTTGCCGCTGTATATCTCTCTTCTCTCCTCTCTCTCTCTCTGTCTGAGGCACGTGGAGCAAGCCAGCCTCCCACAACACAGGCTTCAAAGAGTACAGCCACTGGGTGATATCATCCAACCCTGTACAGGCCAAGCCTTCACAGTCCTGCTGCTGGAGTCCAACCAGAGCTCATCCAAATCTCCCTGGGTAGAGCAGTACAGCAGGTCTACAGACACAGAGATCAGTATCCAGTAGCTGGTGGTCAGTGTGAGTAAGCAGGAGAGAGCGTGAGTGTGTGTGTGTGTGCACTCCCTTAAAGGGTGGTGCCTAACCCAGTGACGGAGAGAAGGAGGGGGGAGATGGGAGAGAGACAGAAAAATAGGGTGTGTGTGTACAGACGTAGGATCTTAATTTGATCACCCTGGCGCAGGATAACTTGTTGTGTATTTGATGTTTAAAAAGGCTTCTGAAGTTCGTAATTTCCGCTTTTACATTTCAGATTTGATTTTACCTTAGGAAAAATGTATCAACTCCTACAAAAATGTCCATGAATTACATAATAATTCACATTTCCTGTTGCTGCAGGATTATTTTACTGCTGTAGCAAACTGGCTCAAATTAAGATCCTAAATCTGTAGGAGAGAGAGAGGCAGGTAGAAATCAGAACCCCCCCCCCCCCCCTTCACTCCTCCTCCACAGTATTGGTTGAATCAGGATTCCTCCCTCTATCCTTGAGTCGCCACAACCAGAGACAGAGAGAACAGGACAAAACCAGTCATCCTTTCTCTGTTCTGTTGCTTTCATGTCTGTCTATCCTGTTCTGATAACAAACAACCACTAACCAGACAGGCCTTTGAACACGCAATGCCCTGAACACAAAACCCCATAGACCCCACAATACAAAACCCATGAAAATGGAATAAGAATTCACAATGTAAGAATAAGATACTCATCTCAATGCAAAATCCCCGCATTCCAACTCACAATACCAGGATACAAAAGTCTATCGACTACAGTGCCTTGCAAAAGTATTCATCCCCCTTGGCGTTTTTCCTATTTTGTTGCATTACAACCTGGAATTTAAATGGAATTTTATTTGGATTTCATGTAATGGACATACACAAATTAGTCCAAATTGGTGAAGTGAAATGAAAAAAATAACTTGTTTCAAAATATTCTAAAAAATAAATAACGGAAAAGTGGTGCATGCATACAGTGGGGAGAACAAGTATTTGATACACTGGCGATTTTGCAGGTTTTCCAACTTACAAAGCATGTAGAGGTCTAATTTTTATCATAGGTACACTTCAACTGTGAGAGACGGAATCTAAAACAAAAATCCAGAAAATCACATTGTATGATTTTTATGTAATTAATTTGCATTTTATTGCATGACATAAGTATTTGATCACCTACCAACCAGTAAGAATTCCGGCTCTCACAGACCTGTTCGTTTTTCTTTAAGAAGCCCTCCTGTTCTCCACTCATTACCTGTATTAACTGCACCTGTTTGAACTCGTTACCTGTATAAAAGACACCTGTCCACACACTCAATCAAACAGACTCCAACCTCTCCACAATGGCCAAGACCAGAGAGCTGTGTAAGGACATCAGGGATAAAATTGTAGACCTGCACAAGGCTGGGATGGGCTACATGACAATATAATACATTAAAATCCTGCAGCGCACGCAAGGTCCCCCTGCTCAAGCCAGCGCATGTCCAGGCCCGTCTGAAGTTTGCCAATGACCATCTGGATGATCCAGAGGAGGAATGGGAGAAGGTCATGTGGTCTGATGAGACAAAAATAGAGCTTTTTGGTCTAAACTCCACTCGCCGTGTTTGGAGGAAGAAGAAGGATGAGTACAACCCCAAGAACACCATCCCAACCGTGAAGCATGAAGGTGGAAACATCATTCTTTGGGGATGCTTTTCTGCAAAGGGGACAGGACGACTGCACCGTATTGAGGGGAGGATGGATGGGGCCATGTATCGCGAGATCTTGGCCAACAACCTCCTTCCCTCAGTAAGAGCATTGAAGATGGGTCGTGGCTGGGTCTTCCAGCATGACAACGACCCGAAACACACAGCCAGGGCAACTAAGGAGTGGCTCCGTAAGAAGAATCTCAAGGTCTCCAGACCTGAACCCAAATGAAAATCTTTGGAGGGAGCTGAAAGTCCGTATTGCCCAGCGACAGCCCCGAAACCTGAAGGATCTGGAGAAGGTCTGTATGGAGGAGTGGGCCAAAATCCCTGCTGCAGTGTGTGCAAACCTGGTCAAGACCTACAGGAAACGTATGATCTCTGTAATTGCAAACAAAGGTTTCTGTACCAAATATTAAGTTCTGCTTTTCTGATGTATCAAATTCTTATGTCATGCAATAAAATGCAAATTAATTACTTAAAAATCGTCTCTCACAGTTGAAGTGTACCTATGACAAAAATTACAGACCTCTACATGATTTGTAAGTAGGAAAACCTGCAAAATCAGCAGTGTATCAAATACTTGTTCTCCCCACTGTATGTGTTCACCCCCTTTGCTATGAAGCCCCTAAATAAGATCTGGTGCAACCAATTACCTTCAGAAGTCACATAATTAGTTAAATAAAGTCCACCTGTGTCCAATCTAAGTGTCACATGATCTGTCACATGATCTCAGTATATATACACACCTGTTCTGAAAGGCCCCAGAGTCTGTAACACCACTAAGCAATGGGCACCACCAAGCAAGCGGCACCACGAAGACTAAGGAGCTCTCCAAACAGGTCAGGGACAAAGTTGTGGAGAAGTAGAGATCAGGGTTGGGTTATAAAAAAAAAATTCGAAACTTTGAACATCCCACGGAGCACCATTAAATCAATTTTTTTAAAATTGAAAGAATATGGCACCACAACAAACCTGCCATGAGAGGGCCACCCACCAAAACTCATGGACCAGGCAAGGAGGGCATTAATCATAGAGGCAACAAAGAGACCAAAGATAACCTTGAAGGAGCTGCAAAGCTCCACAGCAGAGATTGGAGTATCTGTCCATAGGACCACTTTAAGCCGTACACTCCACAGAGCTGGGCATTACGTAAGAGTGGCCAGAAAAAGACATTGCTTAAAGAAAAAAATAAGCAAACACGTTTGGTGTTCGCCAAAAGGCATGTGGGAGACTCCCCAAACATATGGAAGAAGGTACTATGGTCAGATCAGACTAAAATTGAGCTTTTTGGCCATCAAGGAAAAATCTATGTCTGGCGCAAACCCAACACCTCTCATCACCCCGAGAACACCATCCCCACAGTGAAGCATGGTGGTGGCAGCATCATGCTGTGGGGATGTTTTTCATCAGCAGGGACTGGGAAACTGGTCAGAATTGAAGGAATGATGGATGGCTCTAAATACAGGGAAATTCTTGAGGAAAACCTGTTTCAGTCTTCCAGAGACTTGAGACTGGGGGTGGGGTGAATAGTTATGCAAGCTCAAGTTCTGTGTTTTTTTGTCTTATTTCTTGTTTGTTTCACACCAAAAAATATTTTGCATCTTCAAAGTGGTAGGCATGTTGTGTAAATCAAATGATACAAACCCCCCCAAAAATCCATTTTAATTCCAAGTTGTAAGGCAACACAATAGGAAAAATGCCAAGGGGGGTGAATACTTTGGCAAGCCACTGTACATTATAATGTGAGGTGGTGGTGTCTTGCTCTACCAAAGAGTAGGCCTAATCTGTGGGGTAGATGTAGACTGACTCCTCTTTAAATGAAAGGCTTCCATCCAGCAGGGAGAAAAGCAGACGTTGCACAATGTGGTCATGTAAAGGGAGCGAGGCTGGTTTGGCAGCTCGCCAAACTTCCACAGAAATCCTTCCACATGGGCTGCACTGACGGGGAGGCATTGGTAATCGCTACACGTCAGCCCCTGTCAAAAACATTACATAACTGCACATTTTGCACTGGAGGCAAGGCAAAGTGGATATGCTAACAGGCTAACCGGTCAATAAGAGATATGTGAACAGGCTAACAGGTCAATAAGAGTGAAGCGGATAGGCTAGGCTAACAGGTCAATATGAGTGACGTGGATAGGCTAGGCTAACAGGTCAATAAGAGTGAAGTGGATAGGCTAGGCTAACAGGTCAATATGAGTGGCGTGGATAGGCTAGCCTAACAGGTCAATAAGAGTGGCGTGGATAGGCTAGGCTAAGCTATATGAGGACAGGAGAGAGGGGGAAAAGAACAGGCATCGACAGCTGGACTTATTTGTCCTTATTCGTCCTTGAAGTGAACTGAAATTCGTATCTTTGGACCTGTTGAAAGCTAGGCCGATAAAGTCTGTTTAAGGCTGTAAATTGTTACGAGAGAGTTGCCAATATAGGTTTCAGTATCAAGCAGCAGCCATATCATGATATCATTCAATGAGCAACACAGCTAAAAAGAAGGTTAACACCATGGGGCTTTAAATGAGCCACCTCTGGCCTGGAAGAATCAACAGAACCAGCTGTACAGACACCAACACACCTCTGACTCAACACCACACCACAGGTAGTAACCATATCACAGGTGAGATCATAGTCGTACAATGTGCTTTACATCCAAAAAAGGACTTTCCATAAGGGGAATGAACCCCTGGATCTGAAACCCAGGCTCTCATAGTTTTACACTTTTTCTTTTGAAGACGATGTCAAAATATAATGCTGGATACTTGGCGCTCCATGCCATCATTTTTCTATAGCCTATAATGTTCTATAACTTGTCTATATAGTCCAACTTACTTTTTAACTCCACCTTTCTATGTACTGGAACTCTATCTGGAACTTCTTTTAATCTTCACCTGCAGTGACAAAACCGATCGCATCTCAAATCCATCACCTGTGTTGTGTCCGGTATGGACGAGTGCTGGCTAGGCAGAGAGAGAGATGCCAAACCCACGTGTTGCATCACTCAGAGATTTGATCTGCTTTGCTTGTTTGAACAGATGAACGCATAGTGTACATT